CATGAGAAAACGTTAGGTGAATATGGTATGCGCTGATGAAGTAAGATAGAGGTGCCTGTGTCTACAATCTCTCATCTAAACATTTATCTATTTCTAGCAGAAATCCTTCTTCACCTCTAGGAATTTAATTAAGACAATTGCATTTATATTCTAAATACAAAAATGCTTAATAATGTCGCAGTATCTACGCAAGGCGTAAATAATAAAGTACTTCACTATTTCATAAAACAAAGAAAGAAGTCGGTCTTTTATCTTTCTATGGATTCAATGATTTATTTCCCTCTTTATTAAAGCAAAAAATAATTCACACATCGCTAAGGCGTTAGTGCATGTCAAAACATTGTACCTAGGCGATAGATATCGATCTAAAACTTGATCTGAGACATAATAATGTCCGATAAAATCTATATTCTCACATTATTAATAGGTATACACTACTTAACTGTTAATCTATTTAAAAGTATAGTCTGTGGAGTCACGCTCTTTGTTCGTACAGATATAAACATTTGACATACTCTTTGCCAAAAGATCCAAGTCTATACGCGCTTCATAGCATGTTTTTCACAGATTATAATTAAGAAGTTGATAAATAAAGTTATTAAAATCCATCCGTTCTGTTCTAAATTTAAACCGACTTTTCATTGAAGTTAGAACTATGCCTAAGTTACCGGTCTTTAGAATTTTGACGGACTAAGAATTGAAATTACTTTATGATGTCAATAAACAGCTGGATATTGTTGCTACATGTGTAGGGGTAGGTCAGACGAACTGGAGCCGTGATGCGTTACGTAACGGTTTAAGAGAAGTGGCGAAGAAAGTTCTCTAATACCTTCTTGGTTAATAATCTAAAAGAACTTAATTAACTATGGGTTTAATAATTTAACAAAGTTTATTTCCTAATTTTATGTTTCTGTTTTTGTAAAATCTGTTTTTAGATTTTAAAAAATTTACTTTATACTATTTGGTAGATGTTAAGGAACCTTAGAAAAGTCTTATTTTTAAATTATAATACATATTTGCTGAAATATATCAAATTAATAAACCAACATAGAAATCGCGCGACTAAACGCTAATTTTGAAATAACAGCTTTGACATTAGCAAGCAAGATGGTTAACAGCACGATTTATAAGCAAGTGACGTCATAAACCCGACCAAACAGGAGCGTTTTGTGTCACGTGACAAACGTTTAAAAAAGTAAACTTTTAATTACGTTTCTTTTTTTAAATCAATTGTTATTTTCACACGTGTGACTGACTATTTCTTAACTTAGCCTTATAATGATATCATCATGATAACAGTAATTGACAGTATATTTTTCGCATTGTCAAATACCACGTTGCGTAAAGGGAGAATCTAGCAGTTTAAATATTATAATATTTGCTTTCTCAAATCGTCTATTCCCCACGCATCGCGTTCATAGATGTGCCATGGAGATATAAGCGTGCCTGATACAAGTGATAATACAAACTGACTTGTGGCCATGGTGGGCTGTAAAACGTACATCTGATATGCGGAGATGGGTGACAGCCCACATTAGTACGGCGCCGAAAACTCGCATAAAACTCACGCTAGATCACGTACAAGTGTTGTACTTTAAGGAAATGTGTTCGTAAAAGAGTCTCCATGTCCCCAACTAAAGAGACAGATGCAATTTTGTGTCCGTGTCGATTAGAGTGGAACTCCTAATGACAGCTTACAGAGAATTATGTATTGTGTATTATTATTTAATTCTGTGTACCTCTTGAGGTGATAACACATTTCAGAAGGGCAAGTACATATAAAACAAATTTAACTGTTGAAATCACGAAATGTATTTGTTAAGTTTTTTACAATTTCTTTTATGTATCTCTCATATTAGGTCTATTTCTCGCGCTTATTTCCGGAAATTAACAACAAAGCCACGGTAGTAAATTGAGGTTAATTTATTTTTTATTTTATTTATACTTGTAGTATTATAGTTTAAAACATGTTTCATCGATGATGCATAGAGGAATAGAAAGTATAAATTGGAAGCATCCTAACCACTGTGCTATGGCGATATAAAAATCCTTAACCCCGCGTGGGGCGGAGGGGACATTTCTGTGTCAGTTTTATTCATCGGTTTAGGCAAGTAGTTGTTTAGACTTCTCTGACCGACATAAACTATCGTTTCACAGACATTGGAACCCAGGAGCTCTAGCGCTTAACGCAATGCAACAAGTTTAACCACTTAACAATAGAGTATAGGGTATAGGTATTTAAACGTGTTTATTATGCTGGTTAACAACCATATCAAACATATGACATACTCAGAATAGAACTTGTTAAAAGGTCGATTACGATAGAGGCAGAGTGGCCTAAAAACTAAAAAACATAATTTTCAAGCAGGAAAATAAAAATGCGCAATTAACGTAGGTGACAATGAATTTGTTCTATTATTTGTTTAAGAATTATCTTAACATTTTTCGGTCACTGTGCTCTTAAAGATTAACATTTAAAATTAAAATAATTCAAGTCATAAAATTGCACTCTGCCTCTAGCTAAAAAACAGTTCTTAAGAACATTAGATACATAGTGTTACCATATCAGAGCTGAAAACACTTACATTAAACTTTATTATAGCCGTTTTGACAGTAAAAAGCGAAAACGCAAAATAGCCTTAATGTGCAATATGTACTCATCGTAAAAATGCAATAAAATTTCAGGACCTTAGATAAACGAATGCAAACGCAATTAAAACGCGATACAGACGTACCCCGGCCCTTATCATTATAATTATTATGTTGTAAAAAATTACGCGAGCTCTTGTCGCGAATGGTGTTAAATATTAAATAATTTGAACTAATTATACGGCATAAAAGTGCTTTATCTTGTAAGTGCCTTTATTGTTATTTTAATACTATCTACTTATTAATGCGATATTGATTGTTTTAAGATTAATTTATGGTCGTATAAAAATTAATAGGCGCTTCCCAATTTCGGGTTATCGTTATGACGTATCCCGGTGTCCTTTTGTCTGTAGTTTACGCGAGCAACTCAATAAAACACTTTAACGGTTTAAAACGGGATTTATTTATTATTTGACAATTATTTTGACGAAGGCCCGATGTTTCGGATGCTGTGTTTGTAAATCTCTACTTCGTTGTTCATATGCACGATCGAAACGGACACAAAAATGTGTTTGCTCTATTTTTTTTTAATTATGACAAAAATTAATTGTTTCAAGCTAAAGTAATTTTCCTCAACACTCGTTTTTCCTTGTTCCGTTCAGTAGGTAGCACTAATTGTGTTTTACTATATTATTTTACTAACTGCGTCCGTCTGTGTGTGTATTTGTTTATATTTTATATCTATCCTATAGGTATTAAGTGTAGATTTTATTTAAAAATTACTTGTAAAGAAATTCATGTAAGTATACTTATATATACTGGTATCATAGCTTTGTCTGTAGGTATTGTTAAGAAACACACCAACACATCCTAATAATGTTTATTCTTTAATAATCGTTCAAGATAACCTCAATAATATTATAGGGTTTTGTTAAGAACCCGTTATTATTTAAATAAAACACTTTAACCGTTTAAAACGCGATGTATTTTAGTTAAACTTTTTTGAGAATTACTTATTCTTAACTACGGCCCGACGTTTCGGATGCTTTGCAGTGAAGCCGTGAACCGTTAGTGTTTTATTTAAATGTGTACTACTCGCGTAAACACACAGTACTTAACCCGTTATTATCTACATGTTAAAAATTCGCGAAGGATGTATATTTTTTTTTAAGAAACATAGTGCTCTTCATTTGAGAATACTCGGCCTTATTCCCGGCGCTTTTAGTCTTATCTTAAGAAATATTTTAAGTTAGCATTGAGAACGCTAATTACGTAATAAAAGTTTATTTAATTTTATTTTCGCAAAATTAAATAGAATGAAAATTAAGGCTAAAATGATGAATCGAGTTTAAAATGGTGAAGTAAATTTTTAGTAACGGATCAAAGGATCTAATGATAACAATAAAATTGAATGATAGCAATTCGGGAGCGGTTAGGTTTTACCTATGTTAAAATATTCGACTTTTAATAAATCATGTTTAAAAACTTTAATAATCTTTACATGTTGCACACGATGGCACTAAATAGATGGACTCGGTAGCTCAATTGGTTAGAGCAACAGCACGAAACGCTGATGATGCCGGTTCAAGTCCTGCCGGAGACGAATATTTTCCCAATTTATTTTCGATTCTCAACCGAAACTATTTTTAGTTTATTAATAGTTAATAACGACGAATTCATATGAATCGATGTATTAAATAACAACACTGCTGCATTTAAAACGTCGCGTTATATTTGAAATCAATTAAGTTAAATTTTTCGGTTTTAAAAAGTGTTTTATTCAAAATGTACTTTCGATTGGTACAATGCAGATTCGAGATAATTTGAAACGACATATTTTATTAATATTAGGTAGTTTAGGATAATACGGTTTTATCGTCACTTTCCTTGTATTCTTTAAAATATCATTTGCATCTGACGAACTCATAAGAAATGTAAATTTAGTTAAACTTCCAAAGTTAATATTGTTTTAAATTAATAAAACTATTGTGCAAAGAAAAAATAAAATAATAACTTATAATATCATCGAATCGTGTTTTACATATTTTAAGTTTTGTCAAAGAAATTGTTATTTTAGTTTTTCATAGTTAGATCTAGGTTTTATGCGCACATAACCGACAAAACTGATATTAACATTCAAGCCACTTTTACAATATTAAAAAGCTTACTAGATAATGCTTATTTAATAGTAACACATAGGTATTAAAGTTATACAAGTTACAAAGATTAAATAATGCAAAAATGAAACTAAATCTATTCATGTTATTTACAGCTAAGGTCTAAACCAATTGTGTATTATTAGAAATGTTTGTAATTAAGATAGAGCAAAGGAGTGTTTATAACCAATTATAATTGTGGATTCGTACCAACTCTGTGTGTCTTGCTGTTCTGTATGTGTTATAAGTAAATTCTTACCTCAAATAGTCGTTTTTGCAGAATATATTGCTGTCCCTCGCGTAGCAGCGCTGTTCAGAGTCGAGGGGCATTTTGCACTCACAGCACCGAAGGCAAGGGGTATGCCAGCGACGCTCCAAAGCGAGGAGGTAATATCGATCCGTGATACGGGCCCCACAGCCGGCGCAAGCGTCCTCAGCGGGGGGCGGTGGGGGCTCATCCGGGGGTTCCCGCTTATGACAGGAGGTGCAGTCGCGGGGAGAGCCGGGTGATGCCGCTGGTGCGACTGGTGATAGCTCGGCGCCTGTCTCGTACGCTGATGATAGGTACCGCTCACTCTGTTGCTGGAAAAAATAGTTTATTTAAAATAGGACTAGTCTTTCTTAGAGCTACACAAACAAACAACTTCGTAATACATAAATATATATATATACAGTGTGAAACCCCGTTTCCTCCTCGTGGGGCATGGGGCGAACACATTTGTGTGTTCGTTTCACTGATCCGTTCTTTAACAGGTAAGTAGTTGAGTAGGTAGACTCCTGTGCCCTGCCCGACCGAAACAATTGTTTGTTTCCCTCGTATTCGAACCCAGGACACACAGTACATAACATATGAGTGTATAACAATTTGAAATATAAAATAAGAAAAAGGATCTACAAGGCGCAATAGGTAGGTACGGTACATAAGAACAATCTTTGTACGGTTGGCAATGGAAAACATGAGTTGTAGAATTACTGATCAAGTAATCGATTTGTCTGGTAAACAATTTGTTTTCACAAATTATCTATTAAATAGACTTTTCCCGATTGGGAAATATATTTTACATAAACATACAAGTGTATAAGTGGTATAATCTGGGTTAACACATTGCTTTACACGAAACAAACAGTAGTAAATTAATATTAATAATTTGTAGATATTAATGAAAAATTTAATTACAACGAATTAGTCTAACGCTTTTAAATACATGTGTTTAACTTATTTAATTGTTGTCATGAAAATGGTGGAAATTCAAAGAACACGAATCACTTCACTATAAAAAGATGAAGATCTAATATTAATATTTTATCGAATAAATCTCAAATAATAACAAATGTAATCGGAAAACTGAGGTCGCTAATATTTGTAGCGGCCGTCGGTAAAAATAATAGAAATATTTTATTTTGATATTTTGCGTTCCATTGGTACGTATCTTTATAAATATGTATATACTTACATTTAAAATATCGTTAGTGTAAATGTATATACTGGTATAAATATGTATATACTTACATTTAAAATATCGTTAGTGTAAATGTATATACTGGTATAAATATGTATATACTTACATTTAAAATATCATTAGTGTAAATGTATTTAAAATACACTAATGGTAAAAGCAATATAAGGTTTTTAATTTTAAGTCTTGCAGACTGTTGTATCTCATTTTTAATAAATCAATCTTAAGCTAATAAACTATGTATTTATATTTATACTTAATGTACTTAAATTTCTTACTTAAGTAAAACGAAGTCAAATATTGAAATAAAACACTTTAACGGTTTAAAATGCGATATATTCGAATCATCGTATTAAAAATATTTGCAAACAAGTTTAACTAATATAAATCGCGTTTTAAACCGTTAAAGTGTTTTATTTATGTATACTACTCGCGTAAATTACTGTCTGCAATTTACGTAAAGAGAATTTGAAGTAAATTCTTCTATATTTTCATATTAAATACTTAGGTATAAGAAGAGAAGTTTATGTGAAAGCTAATTTCTTAATTTTATGAAAATAAAATATACAATTAAAATTTTCTAAAATAAAAACAAAAGAATTTCAACTACTGTAATTGCTCTAGAAGGTAAATTTTATTCGGACAAAAACGTGCATAAAAGCCCAAAAATGTGTTGAGTTAACCAGCTGGCTTCCCGCGGATTAAAGTAAAACGGAGAATATAAATTTCTTTTTATAAATAGGAATTTATTTTAGTTGAAAAATTCCTTGAACACCTGACCGATTATTTACAAGAACTGTTAACGCTATAATGCTAAATAATCTCAACTTGACACATAATTTAAAATTCACTTTTTATTTATATGTAGGTAAGTATTTTGAATACAATAGTGAGAAGATTTCTAAATAAAATCTTAAGCAGTATTTGCATAGAATTAGTTTTGGCTGAGATAATTTTTATGAGCACGAAAACGGGGTACAATAGACGAAGAAATTTTTTACTAAACAAAGAGAGATGGGTACCGAATAAGATTAGTCACTAGCTGATATCATTTTTACCGCAGCATAAATTAAACCGTTTCCCCATGTGTGGGGTATGGGACACATTGGTTTATTTTTTTTTTTGACGGGGATCAAACCCGCGACCTATTGGTTATTAGCCATTGCTACCACACTTACACCAACGGACCCGTCCAAAAACAACCTTTAATAGAAGTCACGGCGATATTAATTGGTTGAAACGTCTACACAATTGAATTAACTTTTCATATGTGAAATGTGGTGACAATTTTCATCGCTTGTTAGTGTACGTCGTACGGCTTTTGCTTTCTTCGCTCTTGGTCATTTACATTTCAGAATGGTACAGCCATCGCCATTATATAGAGGGTGAGGTAAGTTATCATGCCATTGAAGTAATTCTGAATTTCAATGGGCCTATCTAAAAAGCGCTTTTCCGTTCCTGCGCCTGCGTTTCAAGTTTATCGTCTATCTCCGAACAATCACAGTTATTTGAAATATCAATGCGCGGCATTTTCACTGAAGCGCCGTTTAAATACGGTTTATTTACCTACAGCAGTGCGACCGAATATGGAAAGACTATGCAAATATGCCCGGTCAATAACATAACCACAGATTAATAAATTAATTTATATTAAATTTTGTGAATTAATGAGGTTTTATTTAAGTAGAATTGGATGGCAATAAAATATTTATGGTATGCGCAAGAGACTATACTTAAGTCAAAATATAACACGCCAAAGCGTTCCATATAAAACAAATGTTTTGCTTTGCTTTGCTGTGTTACGCATACGCTATGGTCAATAGCTGTAATAATGTTAAGTCTCATTATTTGGCTGTTACTTAGTACAATGCTGGAAAATAATTATTAAAATTACAAAAAAAAATAAATAAAGAAAAAATATTCAATTGAAGAAAAGTGTGTCACAAGTAGCAAGCAGCACAATTATGCTACAACACTGACTTTCAGCAAAACCTACTGTTAGTCTTTCAGACAGCGCTCATGGTTGTACCATTTGATATTTTAATTACCAGTGACTTATATTACAAGTTAGTTCATAGGTTTTTATTTAAAAAACCATTTCTGTGGTGTTTATAATCAATAACGTTATATATTAGTAACTATTGCAATTATTGGTGTAAATAGGTGGGTGAAATTCTTGTGACTAGCGGCGAGGTGTTCTGGTAGTCTAATAAAAATGCTTAATAGATTTTTTAAAGGTAAATAAACTATTATAATTAAAATACTAGATCTTGTTTAGTTTAGTATCTTAAAAACATTCTAAAACTAATTCAGAGCTTAAAAGTATGTCTTACGCCGTCGGCGCCTGCATCACGAGTTTAGCGACGGCAATAGCCCATCGAGCCAGATTGGCGTAAGCTAAATCATCTCTCCTAGAAGAGAGTAAAATTAGGAAGTGAAGCATTAATTAATTCGCCTTAACTCGTTGAGTTGAGGATTTTAGCAGAAGTGATACGGCTTTTTCTTTCTTTCTATTTTAACATCCTTTCAGGCCCCGTTTACTGCAAAAAAATCGAACCTAGGAACTCTTGCGCCAATCACAAACAGCTATTAAATTATTATTAAACCTAAAAAGAACACAAGGTATTCACAAGCTCCGGTGTTTTATAAAAATGTAAATAAATAATTTCCACGAATAGCAACGAGTAATGAATTATATATTTATACATTTGATAAATTCATAAATATGTTGGTTTTATTCAGTGAATAAACAATATCATACACACATAATATAATATTATTTACACTTTACACGAGTTGTATGTTGAATTAAGTGTAGGACTGCTTCTTGTTTGTCATTGACCCTGTCAAAGTTTTTTTACGTCGTCATATATTCGTGTATCGGAAACCGTAAAATAAAAACTTTTAACCACGTTTAATGTTTAAAAAAATACAGTGTAATATCAGCAAAAAATAAATAATATAACAGTAAGTAAAATTTAATTGACACATAATATTACGAGTAATTTTTATTAATTAAACTAAAATGTTGTTTTTAAATTCCTTACTTATAAGTATGTTTAATAATTTCTACCTTGCTTGAATCGAGGCTGTAAGTATTATACAGTAGGTTGTTAATTTTCTTATGACATCCAGTACCTATGGACGAAACTCATCTATGCAAATAGGTATTATGAAGCCGAAGAGTTTGTTTTTGTTTAATGGCGCTTACCTCAGGAAGGACTGATTCGAATTGATTTTTTTCTGTGTCGGATAGGCCATTTTTCGAGAAAGGCTGTATTACATTACGCTACGGAGCGAGGAAACAGTGGAAAATGTGGAAAATGTGGAAAATTATTCATCTTTGATCGTTCATCGTTGCGTGCGCTGCGAAAACGATTCAAAAAACCAAACAATATGTATAATAAAATAATTCCTCGACAGTATGTCTATCTTTTAGGACTAGCAAGAACGACGGGACGCGGACGAGGCCGTGACTAACAACTAGTGGATATTATAAGCAAAAGTATCTAACTGTTACAACTTCCTAAAATATTCTTGTAACTAATTGATTTAGTGTTGCGATAAGAATTTATTTATAGTTACGTCTAAAACCTAGATAACAGTGTTTAGTTTTGTCACTTAGTTTGCAATCATATGTTTCAATTCTATATTATATAGATTAAGTAATTTAGGATTTTATTTTAGTAGGCTTTACATAGCAAAAGTAGAATCAGAAATCTTTATTATGTGTAATTCAAAAAGCTTAAGAGTTTGTTTGTATGTTTGAACGCGTTAATATCAGGAGCGGGTTCAAATTATTTTTGTGTTGGTTAGAGCAATTATCCAGGAAGACTATAGGATATAAAACATCGCCCTGTGACCAATACAAGCGAAGATACAGCGAGAAATGTGAAAAAAATGGGAAAATTATTTATCATTACGGGTTTTTGCAAAAACGGTTCAAGATACCCAAAAAATGTGTATGAGAGATTGATTTCTCTTTAAATGATCTAAAAAAAAATATGTATGTATGTAACGCTATATGTCAATCTTTTAAGATTAACTTGCAAGAACGACGGGAGGGGACAGCTTCAGTTTTTAAAGGAGTTTGCAAAAACGAATTTGTAAGGAAAATGATTGTTTATCAGGAATGGAAGTAAGGAATTATGAGACATGCTATTGGTAATCCATTTAGGTATAATATGAATTCTATGAAACTGAGATTTAAAAACACATAATTCATGGGTTATATTTTTTCTTACATGGAAGGTGAAATACCTGAGCCATATAACACATCAACGAGATGCGCTGCCGGCCTTTTGGCTTTGGATATCTAAATTCAGAAACTAAAACGAGTATAAACTTCACGGCGTTCCATTTGTGCTTCGTGATTTTATATTCCAGAAATTCCAACATTTGTCAGAAAGATTATAAGTTGATGAGAAGTAGGTATGTTGCATGTGGAACGAACCCACGAGACGGTTATAAGTAATACATTGCTACCATAAGACCAACGAGCCCTTTAAATAAAATACTGTAACGGTTTAAAACGCGATATATTCTTTAAACTTATTTGAAAATGATTTTTAACTTCGGCCCGATGTTTCGGATGCTTTGCAGCAGCTGTGTTCACGGGGAGACAATGCTGCAAAGCATCCGTAACGTCGGGCCGAAGTTAAAAATCATTTTCAAATAAGTTTAACTAATATATCGCGTTTTAAACCGTTAAAGTGTTTTATTTAAATGTGTACTACTCGCGTAAACTATAGACAGTGTTTAACCAACGGGCCTGTCAAACTATACCGTTGTACAATACTTTCCTAAAATAATATGAAAAAGTGACCCGACGGCAATTCAATACCTACTGATAAAACGTGAATGCCAAATTGAATTCTTATGTCTGTGACCGTAAAGGTTCGCCTTTATTATACCTACTCCCGTTATAAAAATAAATTTTATTGACACCACTTGCTAAAACTCTAATGGGATTTTTACAACACTTAATCAATACATTCATTTTAATATTGTTTTTATTGCAGACAAGCACTTGATAGGTGGAGAAATACCCCGGCCATATAATATTTCGAAGATGTGCTGTCGATCTATTGTAAGATGACAATATGTCCCTAGAATTATCATATGCAATCCAACAATGAAATACGCCTACAAAATTCCCAAATTCAAATATGATCTAGAAATTGATTTACAAAACACGTAGCAACTAGCTAATCGAATCCACAACCCGTTGATTGTTAGAAATTGTTACCAATATGCACGAGCCTATTGTAGTGTCACGTTTGATGATGATAATTACCAATTTATTTAATTTGTTTGTAAGGACTTTCGTTTTAATTTAATGGATATGATATACCTACCTATTAACGTTTACTGAAAAATAACAGTGTAAGGGGCCGAATGTTAGAAGAAGCCATTGGCATTTCATATATCCATTGCCTTTGGGATCCTTATAAAAGATTTCAACGATATCTGAGTAAGTGATATTAGTACAAAAACGTTGTGCCCTAATCCTAAACAATGTTGAATTCTTAAAAGTGGAAACATTCTTTTTTAGAGGACGTTAATATAAAATTATTCTAATAAAAAAATTACAATCGAATTATAAGAATGAATACCAATTTCTTTCTAATAATTATAATAAAAACAATATAGGTATAAATTTAACATATATAAACTTATATCTTTAAATAACAAAATTGTGAATTAAAATGTACCTACTTTAAGGTACTAAGTTCTCTTTAGACACATTCTAAAAACCTAAGTATGTGTTGACAGGTGGAGGTCATTGTCATTTTATATTGATCGTGCAGAAGTTAACAAATAATTGTAACACAATAACTAATTCGTTCCTTTAATAAGTTGCAAATTTATATATATATATAACAAAACTTCTGACTTAGGTTGATACCTATATGTTTGTACCGATATGTTTGCTAAATAACTTAAAATTAATAAGCAACTAAATAGATAGCTAAATATTTACTTAGGACAATAACTATGAACTTTAAATAGTCAATATTAATTTCAACTATATTTCTTACTGCGGAGTTTCAGTCATACATTAAATTAAAGGAGAATATAACATGTTTTATTAGAAAAAATTGAATTTAAGAAAAATAATAAATAATTCACTGTACACTATAAAAATGACGTAAGAAAATAAACACTCGATCTTTAAACTGACGTTTGACGTGATAATTTCGTCAGTGTTCCAAATTTAAAATGGCTTACCCAGTGCATCGCTCCCCTCTCTTCGTACACTCCCATCTGGGGGTCAATTTTTCCGTTTTCTATTTTCGAACGTATGGGCCTCTGCCCCACAAACACTGCGGCACTCACACGCGATACATAACCGTCCGCTATGCGCCGCGGCCGACGACAAACTGTAGTCTCGTCCGCTGTGGCAGTGGGAAGGTGGGTTTGGCCCCGCCCATTCCCGCCCACGACACGGCGAGCGAAAAAAAAGCGAATTTTTCTTTTTTTACGAAACTCGGCTATTGAATTTTTTGTCGCGACTTTTTTTCATTTGCAATATTGCAACGAATTGCGCCCGAGTGGCTCTTTGGGAATGCTTTTTCGACGAGTGATATGTTTGAATGGCAGTTCGGAGTATACTGATCGTAAGCTTTATTCAAATGTTCAGATAACAAGTGGGAACAATGTGCGGGGAATGACGGAATCCGCTTGATATCGTGTTATATCTGCCTCTCACTTACAGGTACTTATTTGTTGATTATTAGTTACAGAGGGATCAATCCATGCACAACCAAACTAAAATCCCATATCATGCCTAAAGTACGGAGCTTAATTTTATAATAAATAATTTCGTAAATAGTATATAACACTGAAGCTAATAAATTTTTAAACGTACAGAATAATTGTTAAATATAGATTTATAATCAAAAGAGTACCTTCTGACTAAAAACTAGTTTTATAAAAGAGACGTTAGGAACTTAGTATTACTAACATTCAATCCTTTCTCTATAATCTTTACCCCCCCCCCCCCCCTCCCGGAACTCATTTATCATTTTCGACGAAAGTAAAGTAGGAATGAAATTCTTATTGCAATCTTGCTGCTACTCGCATTCAAAAATCTACAAAGCTTACTGAAGCCAAAACTAGTGTTTCTTTGATCGCAAACCGGTTACGACTTTTCTTCTCCTAGCTATGTAGGTATGCTAGTAGGTAAGTATATATTAAAACTATAGGTCAACTTTTTTGTAAATTTCGAATACACCTACTTAGGTAAATAAAAGAAATGCTCAGTTCAAATAAAACATTTTGATAAGTTTCATTTTTTTTATTATTTAAGTAAATCTTTAAGTTCCTAAATTTTTAAGCTTGAAAGACTTGCAACCGCGATTAGCAACACTTGAACCTGTAACAAAAAATGTTTATTAAATTTGTTTTAATATATATTAACACAAATGAAATACTTTTCTGTCTCCCAAGGATTTAAAGCCTCTCTCTAACAATATCGCTAACGTAATGCGCTAAACCTGACAGAAAAGTTCTTTTAAACGTGTCTGTCGCGGAGACAGACACGTTTAAAAGAACACATTTCAGATTATAGTGAATAGGAAAATATATATAAAACTCTATAAAAAAATCTTTTATGTCCGATTTTAATCACTTATCTCGGTGTAAAAAAGAGACAAATACACACATTTTAACATTTATATTCTTTCTGTGGCTTTACGCTACAATAGTCGTTGTTAGTATGCATTTTTTTTTCTCTTTCTCAGATATGTTCGTCGTTCAATAACAATAGCTTTTTTGATCAGCTTCAACCACGTGTCGCCATCTAGCTATACTTTTACGAACTACCAACGCTGTGAGCTCAACTCGTTAAATATCGTTTATACCCGACTATGGAAAGACGAAGGGAAGTATGTTTGCCAGTAAAATGAGGGGCTAGTAAGGATTTTAAAAATTCTTTATAACGACCAACTCTTAAGACGAGAATGTTATAGATAATTTGTAATTATAGAGTAACTACCTCATCCAGAAAAGGTTCTGCCATATTCCATATTCTTACAATTACATTGATTAGGTACCATAAAAACGGTTCTTAACTATAACTCCTATCAACTACTCGCGTTCAACTAGCACAAAAATAAATTTTCAATTCGAACCAGTAGATAGTTCCGGAGATTAGCGCATTTCAACAAACAAACTCTTCAACTTTATAAAGATTGTATTTTTATACTAAGTGTACACTTCAGTGCAGTTCGAACACCGAATCGAATTGCAAAGTCGGTTGCTGTAAACATTACAATGAATGTAGTAAAGACAATAGTACTCTACCATCCCATACAACAATGTGCGCTTTGGTCGTTTGGTAAGGATAGTACGCCTTGTCGGTTCCCGTTTGATTCTCCTCGTGAGGTAAAAGCCAACATCGCGTCCAAGGGCTACTCATCAAACAATACTTGGCGCAGTCTTGGCTCGGCAACCTATCGGTTTTATAGTGCAGCCATCCGAACCACTCAGCAGTTACCTAAGAAACGAAATATAGGCTCCATGAAATATCTAATTCATTTTCGGGGAATCGTAATCGTAAAATTTAAATTGTCTCAAAAGGCGTATTATTGTCTGAACGATTTCTTTAATGACAAGACTGCCTGGCAGTAATATGAAGTGCTCCCTAAGTTAATAAATTCACAATGTATTAGTTTATAAGACAAGTTTAAAAAAGCCGGACTGAGTTTCTTGGGTGTTCTTCTCAGTTGTGTGTTGCTCTTTTGAACACTATGTATAATCACGACGAACAGACAGACAAACGATAAAAAAAAACGACGAATCTAAATATTTTTTTAAATTTTAAAGAGAATACAGTATATTTTACGAGAAATTCGTTTACAATACAACAATTAAGAGTTTAAAATATACGGAGCCTTGCCGTTAAATGGTCAAGTCCACAAATTAAACTTGACGGGCTTTAGACCAACAATGGTAGAAATGTATGTCTAATACTCAACGGGTCGTGGGTTGGATCCCCTCCGAGTCTAGTATGTTAATAATCAATTTATAATTCTGAAACATGTTGGATTTCATCTGCAAATCTGAATGTTAGATGGTTATGGAAGTTTAACTAATATATCGCGTTTGAAACCGTTAAAGTGTTTTATTTAAATGTGTACTGTTCGCGTAAACTATAGACAGTATTTACCTGACTAGCGTCATAATCCCACTTCACATTGGGATTGTACTCCACCCACCTGCTACGGCATATCATGTACAAGGTGTTCTCATAATATTTATTGCCAAATGCATCGGTGCCGATTAGTTTTCCTTCCTAAAACAATACTAGTTTGCTGTACACACGTTTTTAAATTAAAGTGTAAGTAGCGCGCACACTATAATACTCGTAGATACCTACATTCTGTATTCGAAACTCCAAAAAATACATCACAGCTTTATAATATATTGATCAGTTATTTATTCATAGTGTTTAAGATGAAATCTATAACATCACGAAGCAATTCCCTTGCAGGCGCTGCGAAAACGGTTTCACATACCCAAAAAATATGATTGATTCCTCTTTAAATTATGTTAAAAAATCCCCGTCTGTATCTTTAAAGATTAACTTGCAAGAACGACAGGACACGAATTTCTATAGATCTATAGTAATCGAGTACTAAATATAGCCTATGTTACTCAGTGATAATGTAGCTTTCTAAAAAAAAAAAGAATTATTAAAATCGGTCCAGTACTTTTTGAGTTTATCCGTTACATACAAAAATACAAATCTTTCCTCTTTATAATATTAGTATAGGTTATATGAGGTTTGCAAAAACAAATTTTGATTCTACGCGGACGAAGTCGCGGGCACAGCCAGTAAATTGATATATATTAAATAAAACACTTTAACGGTTTAAAACGCGATATATTAGTTAAACTTATTTGAAAATGATTTTTAACTTCGGCCGACGTTTCGGATGCTCGTCGGGCCGAAGTTAAAAATCATTTTCAAATAAGTTTAACTAATATATCGCATTTTAAACCGTTAAAGTGTTTTATTTAAATGTGTACTACTCGCGTAAACTATAGACAGTATTTGATATATATTATTTATTATTAGTGATGTGTGTTACATCTAACACTAACTTTACTACTTTTTTTTTAGTTAATGAACGATGGTTTTTAACTAAAATAAACGTAAAGTGAAAGCCCGTTTGCCCCTCGTGGGGCATGGCGAACACATTTCTATGTCCGTTTCACTGATCCGTTCTTTTAACGGGCAAGTAGTTGAGCAGACTTCTGTGCCCTGTCCGACTTAAACAATTTTCTGTTTCACTGGGATTCGAACTCAGGACCTGTCGCGTTTACACAATGCTAGGTAATACATACGTTTAACCATTTGTCTATAGAAGCGGTCAGGAAAAAAATCGTAGGATGCTTAATTCTCAGAATACAGCGCTTTGATCTTAAACTATTTATTAGATAATAGAACTTAGTGACGATTATATTACGATATGGATATGGTAATTCAATAAATATTTAAACCTATGTACTTATGTTACCTATTTCTTTAACTGCTATGTTTAAGGGAAAGTAACTATACGTTACGCCTAGTTAAGTCCTTTCCGAGATTAGCGTTAGGTACAGACAAGCTATTTCTTTCACTTTATGTTAGTACCTTCAATGTGTCCGTCCGCCACAACTTGATGATTGAACCAAATGGTCCACCATTTTGCGATATTATTCTTATCAAACGGAACCATTTGTCCAGAGCCAAATATTGAAATACCATTATCAAATTGTGGTCACTATGACTAATAAAATAGTTAAATTTTTTTGGGTATTTCCGAGACAGCGTCATTTATTTTTCGTAACAAGTACTTAGGATGACGTAAAAAGGTCAAATATACACAGATCTAAATATGTCAGTAGTTAAAGCAAGTAGTACTCATTCAAGTAAAACCCTTTAACGGTTTAAAACGCGAAAGCCATAAGTTAACTTATTTTTTAAATTTTCCAATAGTCAACTTAAAGTATAAAACACTGTTACCGGTTTTAATCGCGAAATTAATTAACTCATTTTTTATTTAATTTAACTAGGCAGGACTTTTCGGATGCTTTGCAGCAGTCGTGATCACGCGGGAAATATTGTTGTTTAAAAATATTTCGCATTTTAAACCGTTAAAAACGTTTATTTTAAATTAACAGAGTCCCTTTTCTATGTAACATGTTTAAATTCTGGTACAATACGGTAGGTAGTACCGGCTCTAGAGCTGTTTAAAAAAAATGCGTTAAAAGTGAGAGTTTCAGGTGGATTATCGAGGAAGTATCAATGGTTGCGGTCGGGCAGAGCACAGAAGTCAGTTCGAGTGTTAATAATTTCGATCTCTGAAACGTCTGTGTATGTTCGCCCTATGCCGAACTTGATAATTTAATAGGAGTACCATTTCAAAACGTTTTTTATCAGAAACTAGCTGTGCCTGCGACTACGTCCGCGTTTAATATTTTGGTCATCATCATATCATTTATTTTTGCAAACCTCTTCAGCTTTATCAGTTGTAGCTTGTACCCACGACGCCGCCCGCGTTCCATCGCATCGTCTTCGCCAGTTAATGCAAGTTATATGCCAATTTTTCAAGATAAAACATTTTTTTAGGATTTTTCAAAGAGAAATCATTCTTTCGTACATATTTTTTAGTTTCTTGAAACCCATTTCGCGCCACACGCTACGGAATCCCCCCAAATATTTTCCCAGATTTTTTATACATTTTCCACTTTCTCTTCGCTCCTCTCTCTGCTTTAATCGATAAATGGTGTATCCATCACAAAAATCATTTTTTCAATTCGAATCAGTAGTTTCTGAGCTTAGCGCATGCAAAATAGATGGACAAGGAAGGTAAATCAAACGACACTTGTAGTATTTTTTATAATCTTGAAGATTTTACTGTGAAACGGTTTAAAGCCATACAGATGATAATGGTGAAGCCGATACTATGGCAAATTATCATATGTTATGGCTATATACATTTAATGTTAAACTTATACAACAAATACTACATATTTATTATAATCTAATAATATTTTGAATCAAAGAGTGCATAGTTTTTATTAAAAGAAACATTGTTTTCTATGTTCAATTTATTTCTATGTTTGCAAAATGTCGTGTGTAAAACACACACGTGGGCCGTTTCTCTATTGACGTTATATTACTCAAATAATGATTAAAGGTGATATAGTACTAACGATATGAAACTATGAAAATTCTAATCTATATCGACGTGGTCGTGTCTATTAAACAATTCTACATAAATCCTGATAGAAAGATTATCTAACATACTAAGTAGTTGTGTAATAAACTCGGCGGGCGATTCTCGAAAAGGGAAAACAGACCAGTCACAAATTATACCAGATCCATGGTAGTACATAGCGATAAAGTCGTCACAGATTTATATGAAAGTGGTGACAGATGTCAACAAAACCCCGTTTTGAGAATCGCCCACCTCACTTATCCAAATATTTTAATTTCCCCGTATATCACACTGCGTACATTATTGTGCTTAAGTGTAACTTAATCAATGTTTTTGGCTCGACAAGTAAAAAAAAGTTTTAGAAAAATTTATTCTTGTTTTAACCAACGAAGGTTATTGAAATCCGGCGTCCCCCCCCCCCCCTTGGGGCAGGGGACGAACACATTTATGTGTCCGTTTCACTGATCGGTTCTTTTACAGGATCAGACTTTTGTGCCCTGCCCGAACGAAACAATCTATTCTTTCTTTGGGATTCGCGGTTAACGCAAAGCCAGGAGGCGATCTAATTTTTTTTACCCTGTTAGCTGAAATTAAGCTGAATTTAGTATTCAAATAAAACCCTTAACGGTTTAAAACGCGATATATTTCTCCCAGTGACCACGGCTGATGCAAAACATCCGAAACGTCGGGCCGAAGTTAAAAATCATTTCCAAATAAGTTTAACTAATACATCGCGTTTTAAACCGATAAAGTGTTTTATTTATATGTGCACTACTCGCGACAGTACTAAATTTAGTACTTCAAATTACCCAATATGACAGTGGTCTAGCCCCCTGCCCCGCCCTAAAATATAATGTATATTTACCCCTAATTACAACGTCTCATCCCGACAAAAACATTAACTATTTACCACTATTCAAAATACATGTACGTAATTATTTTTAACATCACTATTTATAACAAATCATTAATGAAATGATTTATAAAACAACCCGTTAAATTAAATTGCAGCCCTATAAATATATAACACCAAAAAAATCGATACAAAAATATATGTTTAAGTACATAACTAGAGGAAGACAAAATTAAAGTACGTGTTATGTTATTATTATTGTTCTATTTGTAATGATTTGGCACAATTTTTAACGGATCAAAACGCAAACGGTAAAGGGTATTTAATCACTCGTTCCGAAATCTTTTCAGCAGACTAGGGCCATGATTACTGAATATGTTGCGTTTAAACCCGTTTTATTTTCGTTTTCGAAGTGAGTTTATGGTATTTATTTTTTCTTAAACAGAGGGGTAACACTGTTATGGTCAATTATATCTTTAAAATTAAACTAGGGAATTGATTTCAGTTCTAGTGCGTATACGACTTGAAGATTGTATTATTTATTTGATCAAACAAATATGAAAAACAGAACAAATCCAACGAAATGTACTTAACTTAATTAAGTAATCGTTGTAAGTAGATAAATTTCCAATTGGTTTTATAATAACTGTACACATTTAAATAAAACACTTTAACGGTTTAAAACGCGATATATTAGTTAAACTTATTTGGGAATGATTTTTAACTTAGGCCCGACGTTTCGGATGCTTTGCAAATAAGTTCAACTAATATATCGCGTGTTAAACCGTTAAAGTGTTTTATTTGAATGTGTACTACTCGCGTAAACTATAGACAGTATTCAAAATGTGCTTTTAATTGTTTCACATTTTAACTTAATATGAACTAAAAATCTATTTAAATAGAAAACTAATCCATATCACGGACGGGACTCGAACCTAAGCACAAAATTACGTGCGCTTCTCTTTACACGATACCTCAATTGTTTTAAAGCACAGTTTTTTTTTTTTAATTGATTGGATAGTGGGAATCAAACCTACGACCCGTTGATTACTAAGCATCAAGTAACACGAACCAGTCCTTTGAAAGAGTCCCGACCGTCTTATAATATGTGTTCAATCGAAATAGTTACTGAACCACGTTTAAGCTACTAAGTAAAGTTTTAATTGTGAACCAGCACGAATTAAGTACAGACTAAATAAATACATCCTATTCTAAAACTAAGACATAAAATAGAGTAATGGGATACGCGAATAAATAAAGCCCGGTCTCCATAATGTTTCAGGCCAAAAATAGACATTAAAAGTACATTTAAGTAGCGTTATTGAAATGTTTGTTACACATATAGTTGTTTGACGATATTCGGAGCTTATACTTTTAAAGTCCGTTTGTGGCCTGAAATGGGCGTTACATATTTTCCAGAATCTTGGTTACTCAATTATAACTGTAACATACCTTTCTTAGCCTATAACGTTCGTTAAAAGTGCCTACTTGTCGGGTATGTATTGATTCGAATTGAAAAAAATATTCAATATTAATAATTCGAGATATAGAGTTAAGATACTATAATACTTACATAATTTTAGGTGTTAGGGACAATCAAAGAAACTATAAAATATAATTTTAAGATGATACAAGGGGCCGTAAGAGTTGACTCGTCCATTTTAATCTTGCATTATACTCATTGTAACAACATTATTTTCAAAAACAAACATCTATTTCCATCAAATTTACAATTCATATTTTCACACAAAAATATCGCCAAATGACAACACACACTTGGCAGTTTGAAAAATTTAAAAAGTTCTCACACCTAAACGACTCGACTGTTTTTAATGAAACTTTGCTAGTATAACTTCAATAAAAATAAATGTGACTAATTTAACCGCTAACGGCACCTTGTATAAAGCTTAATTCTATCTTTTGCTGGATCTGAATTTTGTAAGAAACATTTTGGAATGTTTATTGCGCTTGACGTATGCTTCGTTACGAATTAACATTACTTTTAACGGCATTATATTTTTATTAACTCCTCAAATTAACAATAATAATTAAGGCGGTTAAAATGTAGTTTTTTAACGGTTTAAAACGTACAGAAAATAAACGAATTTTTAAGTACGACTCGTAGTATCAAGGAGACTGAGAGAGAGCATAGAGGGCGCCCCTAAAGTTTAATCTGCTACGCTAGCGCCATCTATGTCACCAATTGGGAAACTTGAGTAAGTAAGATAAGTGGAACTAAGAGAAAAGATATTAACTATACCTATAAAGGTTTACCAACTTCAAATATTTGTTAGTTAATCACGCAACGACGTTTGAATTTTTACTAAGTGTGTGAAGAGCCATAGGTACCGGTCGGCGGTCTATATTCTTCTGGCAACGCCTTCACCTGTTTCTTAGTAAACGCGTACTTCTTAACACCTATGTTTTTATATGTGTTCTCACGGCGGCAGCCCTCGCTGTAAACAAATTTAAGATATGTTATTTCAGATAAATAAGCCTACTATTTATTTATTAACACCTTATTCCACAAAAATTAAAAAAAAATCATTCGAAACTGATATACTAAAAATATGTACGGCGGCCTTATCACAAGCAAGCAATCTCTTCCAGGCAACCCACAATGAAAGAAGAAAAAGGTCATGGAAAAACAAGATGTGCAATGAGGGGAAAATATAGATAGTGAGCAATGCCAGAAAACCAGAAAATGCTTCTAAAGAACTTTTATTTCGTTTAAAACGCGATATATATTAGTTAAACTTATTTGAAAATAATTTTACTACTGCCCGACGTTTCGGGCTTGGTAATGGTACTGTATCTAATGATCAACGGGTCATGGGTTTGATCCCCACCATGGACCCGGTGGGGATCAAACCTTCTTCAAATTTTACAATTTTTCAGATTCTCATCCATTTAATATTCAGATTTCCAGACTTTGTCTGGAAATAATATCAATGATTCCGGAAATATCCAATTTGTCTGGAAACCTGGATATTAAATGGGCGGTAGGAATATAGAAATTCCGTTCGGGTCAATAACCACTCTGTCTGTGGATTTCCGAATATCTAAAGCCGAAATAGGTCGACAGTGCACTTTGTTTAGATGCTATATGCATCCCCCATATCACCCCATATTACCTACCATCAATTGAACTCCCACGTCATGCCTGTCCTCCCCTATCATAAAAAATAAATAAATGTGTACGCAAGTAGCGTAAACTACAGACCGTATTTAACGCAATAGTTACCTCCTCATAACGTCTAAAGCTTTTTTCATTTCGTGCTCAGCTAAATGGTATTCCGCTGAGAGGATCGAACATTGCTCCAGGGTCACTGACATTCCGGTTCTGTCTTTGGCACTTTTACACGACGTGAAACGGATACCTAGAAATATAGAACATGCTTTTTACTTCTATACTAATATAAAGATTGAATTGAAAACTCGGGCAGGACTTGAACCGGCATCGGAAGTATATGTCCGTTTATTCGGAAAGTGTATTTCTAGTGTGTGAATTCCATATCCCGCTAAATGGGGGCATAGGACAGAAACATTACAGTGCCCATATCAAAGATCGTTTGAATTACAACTTCATATGATCAGCTGTATTGCCCGAGACCAGACCAATATCATCATTTATGATAATATAGTGTAAATAAAACAAGTTTAAAATTAAAAATTGCATCTTGAATATAGTACAAATATTTAAATAATACACTTTAACGGTTTAAAACGCGATATACTAGTTAAACTTATTCGAAAATGTATTTTTAACTTCGGCCCGACGTTACGGATGCTTTGCAGCAGCCATGGTTACGGGGAGACACGTGGAGACGGGCCGAAGTTAAAAATAATTTACAAATAAGTTTAACTAATAAATATCGCGTTTTAAACCGTTAAAGTGTTTGTTTAATTGTGTACCACTCGCGTAAACTACAGACAGTATTCAATTAACATCTTACCATTCATATGTCGTGTCGCTAACGCGGCTAAATGTAATACTTCTATGTTTTTTGGCACTTTCTTTTGCACTGCTTTCTTCAAATTCTCCATAACTTCCTCTAGGGGTTTTATCCTGGACGACGCTGAAACACAAAAGACGTTTCTATAGCAATAATTTCAATTTCGATTCAACAATGTTTAATAGAAATGTAATGTTTAAATGTAACGGTTTAAAACGCGAAATAACTTAGCTAAACTTGTTTACAAATTATATTGATCTTCGGCTCGACGTTTTGGACGATTTGCAGCCGTGGTCATGGGCAGACTAGCCGCCTCGTCGACATTTAACTAACAGTATTTTATGTATATTGCGGTCAGCTTTGACTCGTTGTGGTCAAGTCTTTACCAGCCTGCATGCTACTAGTTTTTTGAATTAGCTTTACATTATAGCGATACGTCGCAATTTTGAGAACCTTATTGCGTTAATATCGAAATACTTATAGTGGACACAAATACATTCTCTGGGACAAAAGTTAAAATATGTAAGCGCTGTAAACATATTTTATTTTTTCTAACTTGGCAATTTTGGTAAACATAGACAATTAGCATAAAATCGTGATTTTCTCACAAGGTTTACATTGACTTATACTAACAACACTTTGAGATACTGAATTTAATATTAAACTAATGATATTTCATTACCGCTGTGTAATCTGTAGAATCAACATCACTCTATAAAACTAATTATCTATGGTATGAAGTCGGCAATATTGGTTGTGGTCTTTTGCGAAGTTATAAAAAATGCAATCATTAACTATACTTTGGAAAATTATTGAAATAATTTTTTTCCCAAAACTCCCTCGAAATTACCATACACGGTTCTAGTCAACTATAGTCTCCGAGGAGGTTGTAGTACGTCTCCACGTCACCATTGCCCGACGTGGGCGTGCATTGTTAATACATCTAACACACATTTACCTCTATTCGCTCCAGAATAGTCAGCTGGGAAGATTTTCGTGTACTTGTGGTAGTACTTATTCAACCTGTCTAGATTATCGTTGTTGGAATGGTACTGCGGTGTCGTCTCACCGAGGGCTTCTGCTAATGTAGCCTTTTCGTTTATCCCGATGTTGAACAAGACCGCCGTTATTGTGAAACACAAATGCTGAAAATATATATCTATGGTAGAGAACACAAAGGAATATGGTTTAAAATACTTCAATAACAACATACCTATATAAAGAAACCACGTTAACGGTTTAAAACGCGATATATTAGTTAAACTTATTTAAAAATGATTTTTAACTTCGGCCCGACGTTTCGGATGCTTTGCAGCAACCGTGGTAGCCGTGGTCGCGGGGAAACGTCGGGCCGAAGTGAAAAATTATTTTCAAACAAGTTTAACTAATATATCGCGTTTTAAACCGTTAAAGTGTTTTATTTAAACATGACTTTTGTTAATAGCAATACAAGGTGGGGAGGTAATTGTACTTAGATAAACCTCACCTCTTTTTTGGTAAACTTCGAGTAGAGCGAATCAGACACCGGTATACTGACAGTCAAGTTACCTCTAGAACCAGATACGTGAGGCAGCGCTGTGTTACTGAAAATTAAGTGTTTGGAAATGTTAATACAAAAAAATTAAATGTAGGTCAATTCAAGTCAATCATTTTTATATAGAGCAGGGGAAAACGCTGCTTACCCGTGAGAAAAGGAACACAATTGTATGTCCGTTTCACAGATCCATTTTTATTTATAGTTAATAAGTTCGTCACTCGTCTGAGCCCTGCTCGAACGAAACAAATGATTGTTCCCGCTTGATTCGAACTCAGGAATCGTGTTCCAATGCTAGGCAACACACTTGAGAATCAAATTGATTTATTCAAAACAACATAATTGTTATAGTTCTTCATATTGTTGGTTCGTTGTTTACTCCCTTCATAGTAATTGTGGGTATTTTGTCCATTTTTTTACATTTTATAAGATGTTTTTTTTTTGATAAAAAATTTCAATCCTGGTTAATTACTACCATTACTTAAATATACTACATTTTGCATTTTAAACTATTAAAGGCGTTTTAGTCTCATTAATGTAATTACTAACATTTCTTTTTGACTTTGTACTTATTAACTTAAAATATAAATTACTTCCCCTAGCAATTGTGTTCTCAGGCTTTCGAATGCATATACAAAATTTCATCAAAGTCTGTTGATCCGTTTTGGAGAAGAACACATACAAACACTGTACCAGGAGTCTTTTATATATATATTAGATAAATTTCAACTACTAACCTATGTCCCACTTTGTTCAACGTGAATAGTACCGTCTGCAAATCCTCAACAGCTACAACCATATCTCCCCACATGGCTTTTTCAGTGGAATAGAGACTCAAAAGCCCCTCGAAGCCACACAGAGGCCCGAGGTCGGAGCTCAGCAACTTCACGACTATGTCGTGTGGTACAGAATTGAACCAACATAGTAAGCCGGAAGTTGTTGTGGCCAACTGAAATACAGTTATAGGAAATTGAATTATTAAAAATCAATTTAGATTGATAAAGTCGATGTCACGGGCTTTGAACTAATATGCGGCTGCTAGAGGCAGAGTGGCCTAACAACAACATGATTTTTAACAATGCGGAAAATAAAAATGCGCAATTAACTTAGGCGAAAATTAATTTGTACTATTATTTGTGTAAGAATTATGTTAACAATTTTCGGTCACTGTGCTCTTTTAGATTAACATTTTTAGACTATCTAATATATAAAATTCTCGTGTCACAGTTGCCATACTCCTCCGAAACGGCTTGACCGATTTTGATGAAGTTTTTTGTGCTTATCCGGTATCTGTGAGAATCGGCCAACATCTATTTTTAATCCCCCTAAATGTTAGGGGTAGTCCACCCCTAAATTTTTTTTAGACAAAATTTTTAATTTCTATTTTTTTATGATACAACATACAAAATTACATACAATCCTCAATTTTCACCCATTTTTTTTTAATAGCCATTTTAGTAAACAAATTAAGCATAAATATATATTATTAAGTAAGCTATTTTTTGTCTACACTAGAAATGACTAGGAAATTATTTATTTATATGGCAAAACAACGTTTGCCGGGTCAGCTATTAAAAATATAAACAACTCCAGACTTAAAATTTCGGCTAGGCTACTCTGCCTCTAGCGGCCTCATATATCAAATTTTAACACCGTAACTCTCTTAAATATATATCGAAGATTCGGTAACCTTCTAGGTCCTTGGTCTAATGGTAGTATTGCACAGATGAAAAATTTTTCGCTTTCAATCCAAAATAGAATGACAGAGTATCCCATTTCACATTCCATCAAGAGAACTCAATGCTGGTCTGTGCTCTGTCACAACAAAGCTTCGATACCCATCATATACAGAATGCTTGCACAATCTATTTAAGCCTACGTCTATGAATTTCGACATGGTAAAAACATCAAATTCGGTCTACCTCAGAAAACGTAGATACAAAAGCTATTCAGTCTGTGGATTTCCGTAAATCTAAATCAAAAAGAGATTGGCAGCGCATCGCATTTCACCTTCCATCAAGTTCTGTATAGCTCACAAAACGCGTTATTAAACATCAAAGCTGTGGATTTTTAAGCAACAATAAATCGACAACATGCCTGCCCCTACTGTCTATAACTTAAACATGATAATCACCGCTTGAGAAAAGCACGTGTCTCGTCTCGTCTGAAGCGCAGCGTGGTCCCTCGCCCACGCGGGCGACTCGCACCTAAGCCGCAGGGCTGCATGCGAGATTCGCGCCCAATGTGTTAACGATTCAGCCTTGATTTTGAAATTCTCCGTTAGCGCTCTCAGCGTATCTAAATCTTGCTCTGACGGCTCTGTAAACAATATATATCGTAGAGTATTTTTTATTAAATATTGTCTGTTGTGTACGCGAGTAGTACACATCTAAATAAAACACTTTAACGGTTTAAAACGCTATATATATTAGTTAGAATTATTTGAGAGTTCTTTCAACTACTACCCCGCGTTTCGGATGCTCCGCAGCAGCTTTTGCGTGGTCACGGGGAGGCTAAAGATATTTGGCGGACAATGACACATATGGCGTTTTAAATGTTAAAAATGTTTTATTTAAATGTATTTTTCCTTACTTGGAAAAAAACCACAACAAATATGGCTGATTTCAAACAATAATAAATGTCAAATTAGAAATTATAATCTGTCCACTATCGTAAATTAATTTTTTAAGATGAAATTTTGGTTTTTATTAAGTGAATTTAAGATACTTCCTTAGTTGAATATATAATCCAGTGTCTCGAAGTATGTTTAGTGTAAATCAATGTAAACCTTGTGAGAAAATCATGATTTCATGTATAGTAAATTACACTATAAGTTATGTTTTATGTGAGCCAGTTCTCCCCTTAAATATTATCAACCCTATAGTATAATAATGGTCAAGCGCAAGGTATTGGCTTTTTATATAATTTCTAGACGTTTTCTTCCACTTATTAATGCCCTACACCCCTTTTAAAAATCGAAATGAATATAAACAAGTATATACACATAGTGGACCAGTGGCACAGTGGAATCCCACCTTCCATAAGTGAAAATGCGGCAAACATATTTCTGTGTCTGTTTCGATCAGACTGCTTTAATTAAATCGTAGAATAAAATGCCAAAGTGTAGCCCACCTTTATTAGAATCAATAATCTTAACAACAGCTTCGATGACAGTTGCCAAGCTGGCTTCGAAATTGACACCAAAATCCTCCAAATATGTCAAGTTAGTTTTCCTCGTCGCGGAGTCGACTTGTCCAATACTCGGAAGAGTTGACTCTCGTTTCCCGTTTGATGACTGGAATATAACATTATTTATTTTATTAAAGTGCTAATGCATTTCTATTCTATTATCTATATTGAATGGACAAAAAGGTGTCTAATTTTTGGACTTCAAGTAATATGACACGATGAGAACATAGCTTATTAGAAAAAGCTTAGATTGTCTTGATTGTTCAATTTAATTCGAATAATTTTTAATAAGAACAAATATATAATAGCAAATTTATTTTTTTAATTACAGCCGCTAGCCGCTCGCCAGTATTACATCTTGTTAGGTAACAAAGTAGTCACAACAGGAGATCAAATTTAAAAACCATTTTTTCATTGTACTCTGGTGAACATCAATATAAGTTTTAAAAGATTACCGAGAAAGAGAACCGATAAGAACTTGACTTCAGTTTTTATCGGCAAACTCCCATTTCAACTTTATGTACATGGATTTTTATTAAATCTGTATATTTTAACGCAAAGCATAGCAAAAGCATATGAAATGGCATTGCTTACAATACTACGTAACGACGCAAAAGTATACAAAACCAAAACCACAATTAGTTGAAGAGAAACAGGAAAAGAATCAATGGAGACGCAAAGGAGTTACGATACATAATTTGTTTGTGTAAATCAAAACAGGAAACAAGTAAGAATTGATAAAACGCGAGCAAAGCGCACGATTAATTTGATATTTATTTATTTATGTTACACCGCATAGCAAAATATCTACAACTGCATTATTGGTCTAATGGTAGTTGTTTTGTGGTCCGAGGCAACTCGGAGTCCACGTCAAATTGTCAGTCGCGATTTTACAATTAGTCGCTTAGCTTTTAAAACTTTTAATATCATATGATAGGGCCACCTGTACCCAGTAGTGGGATAATAGGTTGAAATGATTATTAGGCTGCTGGAGGCAGAGTGGCCTATTAACAAAAAACATGATCAATAAATAAAAATGCGCAATTAACTTAGGCGAAAATTAATTTGTACTATTATTTGTGTAAGAATTACGTTATCCATTTTCGGTCACTGTGCTCTTGTAGATTAACATAAAAATGCAGTTAGGCTACTCTGCCTCTAGCGGCCTTACATTATATATTGAAACAATGGCTTAGTAAAACAAGCCTGGATAACTGAAAATCACTTCAAGATTAAAGTAATTCAGATCAACAAGATGAGAAAAAAGCATCGTCAATAAGTACCAATTAAATACGCTACAGTTATTATACAGTGTTCTTAATAAACATGTTTGTAATCTCTGAAAATTTTAATATATTTCACATGTTATTTCACACGATGGAGTTATATAAATTAAAAATCTATTTAGATGGACCAAAAAATACAACCCCCCCCCCCCCCCCCCCCCCCCCCCCTCCCCTGAACCGACAACCGCAGCGTTCCAACTAAGGATCAATTAAGGACACCGTAGCTCAATTGCTTATAACAGCAGCAGCCATGTCGTTAATTTTTTCAATCTAAATATATTTTTATTTTATGTTTGCAACCCCTGAAGGCGTGTGATTTCAAACTCCTTAATACATAAAAATGTTTACCTTCCTCCTATCACTTCCACATAAGCTCTCCATAAGACACCTGTACGACACCTGTTCCAATGACGACGCATTCTTGAAGTCATGCCTCAAGCTACCATGCCTCGGTCTATTCGAATCGAACGATGAATTCGGCAAATCGTTCAATTTAGTTTTGAACGGCGAGCGAACCGATCGGAACGAATGATTGAGTTGCTGCCGTTCTTCGCTATTGAAGTAATTGTTGTGGAACTGAAGATCGGTCGACTCGAGGATGTTCCGTATCGACTCTTGGGTTTTGGAGCAACGGTTGTGGCACATGTTTGGTACGCTGGCTGATAGAGATGGAGCATCAACAGTGGGCGTTGTTTCTTTGGAACTAGAACTCGATGATGCGAGTGTATCACAATCTGAGCCAACATCGAACATGCTCAACTGCTCGGTCAGTTGCATTATTGTTGAGATCGTCTGTAATACCAATATAATAATGTATACTAATATATCAAGCTGAAGTGTTTGTTTGAACGCTCTAATCTCAATCGCAAAATTTTCATTTTGAACCAGTAGTCAAATTGAAAAAATATTTTCGTGTTAAATAGACCATTTATCGAGGAAGGTTGCAGATTATACAACATAACGCTTTGGCTAATAGGCGCGAAGAAACTGCGGGAGATGTAGAATAAACGGATAAAATTATTCATCGTGCCCTACGCTTACGTAGTAACTTATTACAATCACATCCGTGTCACCTCATTGGAGTTGCTTCCTGATCGATTTTTTGTTCGAAATTCGAATTCAGAACCTTGCACTTGCCGATGTTTAAAATGGGGCGACAGTAGCCAAATGATTATAAGAAATTTATTTATATTAGATAATATTTACCAAGCTTACAACAAAATGATCCTCACCCGATTTTCATTATCTTCGTTACAATTATGTTTGGGCCAACCGATGATGGCTAGCGATTCCTCAATCACACCAGGTTCCCACAATGTCATCATCCCTTTTGTTTTCGTTTTTATCACTGCAAATTAATTTAAAAACATATATCACAAAAGAAACAAGTCAACACACAACACATCACACATCACAGATAAAAAAGATATCAAGTCTAATCGCGTTTCCATTTCAGTCTGTGGAAATCTAAATATCCGAAATCAAAATAGGTCGACAGCCCATCTTGGTTAGATGTTATATTGCTGAGGTATTTCACCTACCATCAAGTGAGCCATGCTTGTTTGACCTCCTAATTAAATAGAACACTCTTAACGGTTTAAGATGCAAAAAATATATTAGTAGTTAAAATCTATATTTTGCATCGTAAAGTAATCTGGTAGTTGTAATTTTAATGATCTAATAAATAAATACAGTAGACCCAGTTTAAGAAGATCTCGCTTAATACAATTTCTCGCATAATATTTTAAGCCAGTCCCTGCCACTTGAGATATATTTTCATACATTTCTTAACGCTTAATACAATTCGAGTACCAGGACTCGGTAGCTCAATTGGTAGAGCAACAGCACGGAACGCTGACGATGCCGGTTCAAGTCCTGCCCGAGTCGAAAATTTTTTCAATTTATTTTCGATTTTTAAATTATGTTAAAACCGTTTCAAATAAACACAATAAGTTAAGTTTGTGTCAGACTATAAGTTCCCTAGAGATTTATATGGTCGAACACTTTCCAGGTCAGCTAGTACATACCTTCGGTAGTATGTCGCGCCTCAATATTTTGGTTCGCCTGTATTAGAACAATGATTCGGTCCATATCCTTGAAGATTTCGTCTTTGAGATTTCTTAGCGCCATTACATTGTCATACTCAGATTGTATTTTGTTAGCCGCGGCGGAGTTCAACGCCGCTTTCGAACTATTTATATCCTTCACTTGTTGAACTAACCTAAACCACAACAAACAATGTAATAGGACAAATTAAAAATCAAGTGCAAGTTTTGAACCGACAACGAAAGCGTTCCGTGCTGTTGCTCTAACCAATTTTGGGCATGGTAGCTCAATTGGTTAGAGCCGCAAGACTCCAGCTGTTGCTGCCGGTACAACACCGCGACCGTGTCGTGAAAAAAATTTAATCTTTTCAATATAAATCGATTTTTAATTAAAAATCGATTTATATTGAAGTGAAGATTGAATATAAATTTATAGGCCGTATATATTAGCCGAGTCCTCGGTTGATACTCGGTGGATTTTTTGCTACTCATACTCGGTCGAATAACTCGGTTATACTTTGTTATTTGATAACGAGTATACTTTGTTTAAAAGCAATATATTTAGGAATATAAAATTTAAACAACAACAAATTTGAAAGTGTTAATCCAAGACTTTTTTAGTAGTTTAGGAAATCTTTAAAAAATCTCAATTAAATGCGTTTGCAAACAATCAAGTGACTGATAGTAGAGAGGCGTGGGCAGGGTGAAGGGTGTATCAAAGCGAGCCGATGTCTTGACCGGCGCCAAACTGTTTGTTCTTGTTTACGCGCCAAATGGGTATTTGACTGAAGCCGAGTACTCGGTTGAAAAACAATTGAACCGAGTAAAACTCGGTACTCGATACTCGGCGCATCTCTAATTCATAGGTATATAAAGTTATTTTTTAATAAATAATTCTCCTTTCTCTTACCTAATAAGACCGCCAGTCCTCTCAGACTTATGTGTGTGCGCCGCAAACGCTCCAGCAGTAATTATATCGTGAAAACCAGTCTTGTTTAGAGTATCGTTATGTATCCACATTCTTTGTAAATGGAGGTTTACCGGTGCAAACTCCAAACTTGAGTCATCTGAAAAAAATATTCCTAAATATTTGTATTTTCATATATACGAATAGAAGCTTAAATAAATAACACACACGTTATATAAATTAAGAACCACAGCGTTTCAGAGCAACAGCAGTGTGGTAACTTTTTTTTTATTATAAAATGGTATCACGAGCAATGACATATGAAAAATATTAATGTTTCGAAATTAATACAAGTTTTTAATGAGTGTCGTACACGAATTATTATTTAAATTACCTTATACTATTTTAGAATTAAGTCGGAAAAATATGTAATTTAAATAGCTTTGGGAATAATCTATGTTTCAGAACCTTTGGAACAGGTATAGTAGACCGAAGTATGGTATCACAGTGGCTGGTGGAGTCTACGGGTCCGTCTGAGTCATAGTTTAAATCGATTTTCGTAATGTTTTCAAAGATATTTTCTTACGATTTACAATTCATATTTAATTAAAACTGACAAGACCTAGAGCCTAAGCAACCGATAACATATGTCATCTGTCAACTGTCAACGAGGTAAACTAAAGCGCGGGAAAAGCGATTAATTACTAAAACTATATCAACTAACCTTTTTTACAACTCGCCTTAAAATAAGCATGCTCAGCTTGCTGTAAGCATCTCTTCGAATGACAATAATGCTTCAGCAACGACACGTGTATACTAGTTAGATCCAATTGTTTGTTTTGCCAATTGCCACAGATGTCGCCAACAGATAACATTTCGCCTAAAAGCTCCTTTTCTCTTTGTATATAAATATCCCTGGAATCATTCGTTTGGTTAGTCTATTTTTAGGTATGAGCTCAATTTAAATATTAAACAAAATATCTTTTACATATTTCGCGTTTTAAACCGTTCACATTAAATTAATTACTGTTAAAGTATTTTTTTTATTATTTTAATATCTTTTTTTTAATTTAATGTGAACCACTCCTATAAAGTATTATTTATTTAACAACTAGAGCAAACTTAATAGAAAAGTTTTTAATAGACAAGCAAGAGATAGAGTAGGTTTAGGTATTTTACAGAAAGTTACCAGAAAGAAACGCAAATATCAATTTCAGAATACAACATAATAAATGTATAATATTATGTGGTTTTTTAGGAAAAAAAACTATAATTTTAAATTTCCTTAACATTTACATCTAAATATCGGAATCAACCATTATTGGTGTTACTTTTGTCCTTGCAACAACTGGGTTATGGGAATTGAACTTAGTTTCATGTCTTTACCGTATATTCTCTAAATATTTGAATAACGCTAATACTTACAGCAGTTCTATAGGCAGCTGATAACAGAGTTTCGGTTCCGCCATTATTTCATGCACATTAATATCACCTCCCAAGCCGGAATGAAATTTGTAAGTAACTTGATGGCTATTCACAAAGTTTTGCTTAATCATACTTCCATATGCTGGAAACTTCAATTTAAGACCTAACCTAGGTGGCAACGATTGGGATCTTCTATGGCACTGAATTTTTTGGGGTATATCTAGGCAATTTCTATCGTTAGTGTGACATGGACTATTTCCAGTACACGATGGCTCAAGGCTCCAACCATTCATTGTAACAAAACCAACCGTCTTATTATCATGTGTTTTTAAAGCTACTCGAAGTCTTTGTGTTTCCTAAAAGTAAAAATTTTATCAAGTTTTTTTTTGAAACATTGTTATATTCCAAAAAAAATAAAAGAGAGGTGTATATACAGGGTGTAAATGGAACAGTTCTGAAACCCTATGAGGCCATATATTAGGGGCTAAAAGGTGTTTTATGGTGCTATTCATTTTTTTCCAGATTTTTTTAAAAGTTTTTAATACGAGTATAAAATGTACAGCGTACAGCCCTGAAGCATATTGCAATAAGTTTTGTAAATAGTCGTATTAATAGATGAATAATTTTTACGTTTATTGTACCTATCTTGTGGTAAAAAGTGGACACTGATTGAAATTGTTTTGCGTTTGTTCGAAGGACTCAAGACGAAAAAAAAACAAAACCTACATGTCATACGTACAATAACATAAAATACAGCAAACGAATAAGCAACTTAACAAAAAACTTACATTTAGATCATATTATTATGTTAAAACTATTTACTTACGTGACAGATAAAGATATTAAATATTGAATAACTGATGTTATACACTTGCAGTAATTATTAACTATTAGACACTACACATCCACCTAAGAATAACTTATTTGTAGAATTTACAATCAATCACTTAAACATACGTAAACCCTTAAGACGCGTGACGACGTGCATCAAGGTCAAGTTAATATTCACAACTAAAAATAATACAATATTAAAAAAGGATGCCGACACGATTTTCGACTATATCAGGTGAGGGGGCGTGCACTAGACACTCTTTGTCGGCATTTACCGAGCTAGCGTTTCGGCGCGTACGGCGGCTAAAATTAAACGAAGCGTAGTGTTGCCGTTTTGTTTTTTATAACGAGTGTCGATAAAAAAAACAGATGTACAGTTTAATAAGTTCCATGTTTTTACAACTAATTAAAGATAGGCTTAAAATTATTCCTTATAAAAGTCGATGGTTATAAATTAATAATTTAAGATAAAATAAAAGAAGTAAGTATTGTCTGTACTTAATGTTTAATTAAGGGATTGTTGATGTTAAGTTTCAAAAAGTTCAAAATGGAAAAGGTTAACTTATTTACAATTTATTTAAGTATAAATATGGACATTTTAGGTGCTTTACAGTAACCGTGGTTTATGAAAGAAGAGTCTTTTGTTAAATAAATTGTAACTTTAAATTAACGAATACATTTCACGTTTAAACTGTTATAAGTGTTTTATTTTAATAAGAAGTATGTCCATGGAACAAATAAATTTATCGGAAAAATAAATAGTGGTTTATCGATATTATAGTTTACCGATATTCGAGTGTATTGAGGTACATACCTATACCTATTCTACTACTTTTTAAATTAATTTGTTTAGTTGCCGGTTAACATTTCTTGCGTCATCACGTTCCTGCTAATTTTAGGAACTCGTAATTATCTCGTTTTTTAGTGTCTTAGTTAGTTTTGTTCTTTCATTTCTCTAAATTGTTTTTATTTACTTTTTAGTTGGTTTCTTTTTTGTGCTTATTTAATTTGTGATATTTCGTGGTGTGTTAGTTTTATTTAAAATGCTTGCGTCGAATTTGTAACCAGCACGTGAGTATCTCATTATGTTAATTTATTTAGGTTTACTTTTGGTAATGCGAAAAAGGTGTTGAGAATTTACTGGAGAAGGGGACCTCTCGTCTGCCGGCCTTTTAGTTATGCAGTTTTAATTGCGGTTTTGCTATGGTGGTTTTGTCTTTCGTATTTATTTGAAGTTGTATTAAATGTATACTAAATACTTTTTTCGAATATTACAACTATACGAATAGATGAAATAAAAAATACTTAACCTACCTAAAATGATCAGCTGTTCACAAAACGTATTGCGGAGCCGTAGGTCATAGACCTTCTCGGCTGTACGCTCTACATTTCATACTCGTATTCAAAACTTTGAAAAAAAAATCTTGAAATAAATGAAAATAAATAGCACCATATTACACCTTTTAGCCTCTAATAAATTCCCTTATAAGTTTTCAAAACTGTTCCATTTACACCCTGTATATTGTATAAGAAAATTAAAAATTCGTTAAATACAAGTGGGGTAGTTAGCAGCTTAGTTCGTCAGATCAGTAGCTTAATTCATCAGAACGGCATAGAACGCAAGGTCGTGAATTCGAATCCCATATGAACCATATTTAGGAATCACTAAAAAGTATGCTCGACAGCATTTGTCTATGTTTTAAGATTCACACGCAAAAACCGTTTTTATGGTAACCAATTTTACCGAATCAACTAATACCTCAGCCAGCTCATAGTAGATCAGCTAGTATCTTTTGTTCTTGAGTCATTTATAAAGGCTAGCTCTAAGGCAAAGAAAATTAATGTAACTTATTTGGTGAGCACACGACTTTCGTCTGTAAGGTCGATGTTCAAATTATAGCCTGTAGCGAGAAAGAAAACTTATGTAATATATTACGACAGTGGTATTTTTTATAGATGTACCTGTATTGTGCTCAACTGCAGAGTTGTGTACCCCATGGGAACAGCTACCTCTGATACTAACTCCTTGACATCATATACTACTAAACGGACAACCGCCTTGCCGCTCATGCCGTCACTTGCTCGAAATAACACGGTTTTCGAAAAACAAGGGTTGCTACACGTCTGTAAAGAACAAAGTTATAATGTTAGAACAATTTCATATTTTTCACATATTATTGCACATGACGGTATTAAATAAGATAAAAATCAATGTAAGATTAAAAATAATAATAATTCTTAAGCTAAATACTGTCTGTAGTTAACGCAAACAGTACTCATTTAAATAAAACACTTTGACAGTTTAAAACGCGTATATTAGTTAAATTTATTTTAAAATTATTGTAACTACGGTCTGATGTTCTTCCCTGTTGCAAAGCATCCAACGTCATGAACGGAACGCTGTGCAAGCAGTTTCAAGTCAGGCTAAAATAATTTTTAATTTAACATACTTATAAAATAAACCTTCATCATCTAATAAGGCAATCGAGTCTTGATTTAATTTATGGACCGCAGTATGTAAGACAGTGTCATGTCAATGTCGGAATCGTGCTACTGTCAGCAGTCTAGTATTGTAATTAGGACAATTAGTACTCAGTGTAATATTAGAGTAATAAGTAAGATTATATGATATTCCTGAATACCTACTTCAATAACTTCCGTTGATCCATATTTTACACATAGGTCTTTAGAGAAACGAACATACACAACAAGCAACGGTGACGGTGGTCGTCCATGGGCATCACACAGTAAATTATCACATGACAAAGCCAACTCACATAGTGGCACTTCATTCATATCTGGAATGTAAATTTTTGTATTAAAGTTTAATGTATTTTTTCTTATAACACTTAAGTGTCATGAAGCCTGTGTATTCACTGACTTTTCGTAAAATATGAAATTATTCACTTGGCAAAATGCAGACTAGATTGCCTCTGTAGCAAATTAGATATATGATTGCTTTATGATAGTTACTAGACTTAAATTCCGAGGAAGCATGTAATTATTTTAGTCGTACAGCATGATCAACAAACTTTTCCTTAATAAAACCAATCAGTAGAAGGGATACAAGAATGTGTTTGCCTCAGGCCCTGTGGCGCAAGCACAAAACTTTTCTAGGTTTTCCTTCCTACCAAAAGTCCGCTTTAGTTAAATAGGAGATGACAAACCCTATATACTTGATTACAAAACATACATACCCAATACAATGCCTTTTTGAGACCGATAACTTGAAACATCAATAATTGGTCTAACTCTAGATAATTTCTCTTTAAGTGTTTCGATTTGTGAGTGAATAACCTCATACGGGGCCATTTGTAGTGATTTAATCCAAATTGTGCGTTCAGACTCTTGAAAAGTTGCTAATCTATAACATACTGCATTGTCCCAAACTGTAAATTATAATATATACAATTATACATGTATAAAAAACGAAATAATCAACAGTATAAAGTAAGACAACGTGAGAAATAACAAATTCAATAACACATCAAAATAAATTATCAATCAAGAAAAGGCATGGACATCTCTGAAATCTCATAATCTGTGAAATTTGTTTTAATGTTATAAAGAAAAAGAAATTAAACTTATAGACCAATTAATAAGACACTATTATAAATGCAGAAGCTTAGAGGTCAGGATAGTTCTAAATTGTTCTGTTGACTATGTTATTCATTAAATAATGTTGTGTTCCGGGTAGACAAAGGATTCAATGTGGCCTTTGCTAGACAGCGCACATTAAAAAAAATCTTTATTAGTTGTTGATAAGTATCCTTCGCCTTCATGGTGTTACAGATTTTTTTTTAATTTTTCTAGACTACTTTCTTCATTAACTTACCTAATTGGAATGGCCAGTGTCCATTCTCATCACAGGCCTGCAGCTTAACTTCATGTCTACCCAAAACAATGACACCCACTGGTTCATACCACGGTTCTGATCCTTTTAAATAAAACAGAAGATTTCCTCTTAGCCGGAACCACCGTATTGAGTAAGCTAAAAAATTAAAAAACTTCAATCTGAGTAAGAAAACAATCAAAATGTAATGTAATGTGAATAAAAAATAAATACCACAGACAATATTTCAATTTTCAATAATCACCATTCTAAAAATAATTAACTCCTTTAAATAAAACACTTTAACATTTACAAAGTTAAAATTCATTTTCAAATAAGTTTAACTAATATATTGCGTTTAAACCGTTAAAGTGTTTAATTTAAATGTGTACTACTCGCGTAAACTATAGACAGTATATAATTAGCATCTTAAAATTGACATAGGCCAATGATATTATAGAGAATGATCATTTTCCAATCAGTGAAAGATTTTATTTTAATGTACACTTGCCTATTTTCAATGTATACTATTTTATATGGTTAAACAAACTTTGTATCCTATATTCTCATTGTTAATATATGAAAAAGAAACAGCCGGGTGTAGCAGCAACCCGCTCATTTTTTATTTACTTCACTGAATAATTATATTTAATAACAAGGGTTTTATAACCCTTTTCTTTTTATATAATATTCACCAACAGCATCTCTCCAATGTAGGTAAAGACAGTAAAAGAAAAATACCTAGTGCTTTGTGTATATTATAAAAATTCCTTAAAATGGAAACCAAACGCTAGTGTAACAAATATATTGAAATATAGTGGATGCCGTGTACTGATTAGCAAGAGTGTATTTCAACGTATAAAATAACTATTCATCTATAGACAATAGCTGACCTTCAGTGCGACGAAAGAAGCCGTCTTGTTTTTCCTTCATTATAAGCACACCCTCACGATCGAAAGTTTGAGACGTCTGAGATGCTATCGCAGCTAATTCTTGCTTATTATATCTCATGGTTTATCACATATTTTAAATAGATAAAACAATAACAACTTGTACCGCATTAGAAAAACAACTACCTTACTTTAGAATTAGGGTGTGTACGTTCTACTAATGTATTTGCGTTGTTATACATCGTTTTATCGTAAAATTGCAATCACGTTTATTATATTATAAATCTTATTTGAATGTATAAAAGCAGGTATATTAGTTTTCTCGTATTAGCCATAAAATACAATTATGATTTTTAAGTATTAATTATTAAATTATGCACTTTTATTACTTATTTATTGTAGAATTCGACTTGACAATTGCCAACTTGAAAAATCTCCTTTCAAAGTCAAGTAATCAATTTTATTTATTCTATTATCGTTCAACAGATAACTACGTTATAATTTGTTTGTATTAATACGCTTTTAGTTTTCTAGAACTGCGTTAGATGCAGAACTGCAGCATCAAACCAGTATGGCGAATTTTATTCACCTAAAAATCCCATCGATTTTTATGGTAGCAGAACCCGGCTAAGTAGAAAAGACACTACACATGTTTTGATATTGTTGATACTTCTGAATTTTTAGCTTTAACTGTATAATACGTCACACTTTGGCAACTATATTTCGAATTTTGCTATTCGCCAATCACAATTACTGTCATTGAACTGTCAAAATTTCCGAATAATTGTAATGTTTAATTATTTATTCTTAAAATCATTAGTATAAGAATATTGTTTTTTAAAATGTCACAGGTTTTCTACAATGTTGCAAGTACTGGTAATGAAAAAATATGATTGAAAGAGTAGGTACAATTGTTTGCAGAGATTATTTTACTCGTTACCTTCTAACAACACACAAGCGGAAGGCTAGTGAAATCATCGCCGAATATGTAAGAGAAAGGTGATTTCTTGTTGTACGCCCTACAGTTTACCAATTTTGAAAACATAGAGATCAATGAAGATATTGAGAATCTAAGAGATAAGACTTACAGATATGAATATACTGCCGATGGAACTAAACAATGTGATAGTCGAAGTTTCCGCTGAAGTTCCTCAGGGCTCTTCACAGCAACATTCTCTCAATGGCTCTCCAGGTCGTGAAAGACCTTCATGTACTCGGAGACGTCCTAGTTACCTGCTCAACTATATTTTAGTAGAGAGGGGATGAATGTAGTATTATCTCCTAGGCATTATTATTATATTCATAATATGTCATTATCTAATTCCAAATACATATAATTGTCACGGCTGCTTCACTGAATACATTCAAAAACCTTTTAGACTCATTCTCCAAGAAATTATAATTTTCACGCATCAGCTTCGGCTGCTAGTGTAATAAATAAATATATCTGTTTTGTTCTAAGTTTATTGAAGCCCAATTTCCAAGCTATTTGTTGTATTTATGTACCTAGTTATCAATAGATCCTCCTTTTGTTGTAAACCTATGGGTATTTTACAAAATTAAATACAAATAAAATATTCACCAAAACCTTGAATGAATAATAATATTTTATTTGGACATGTAAAATATATTCCAACGTAGGCAGACTTTAAACTTAATTAAAATTAAGATTTAATGAGAGTAAAGATAGTGATAATATATGTTGTGTGTATAAGTTATTAATTGTTCTTCAATATACAAATTCAAGAACCAAAAGCCTGTAAACTTAAAGACTAAGCAAGACTGTTTAATATTACCATTTACTTATATTATTTTGTTTAAATAAAACTTGATGCAATATATATTTTTTAGTAATATGTTTTTTTATTTACATAGTCAACCACTAGGACTGATTAAACTTAAAAACATTAAACTGAATTGACAAATATAACCAAGTACATTCAACATCTAAATAGAATGATGTAAAATTAAGGAAAATAGTTATGTAGGTATAAAAATATCCACCTTAAGTAGTCTAATATACTAAAAGTGTACTTCATACATATTTTTTGCTATCAGAGGCAACATTAATTCAAATTAGAAGTCTTTTAATCTAAGTCTAGGGTTAAAATATTTTTTATTACAATTGTTCCACATAAATAAATCACAAAAATCTACAACTGCATTTGAATTGAATAATAACACTTGCTTGTTTGTTGTAGTTGTAAATTATCTAGACTGCTTAATACCTGCATAAATGCAAGGTCCACTAATTAATTGATTCTAAGTGGAATATGGATAACATCTAAAAATTCCTTATCTTCAATTTATCCAACACGAGAAGCTCCAATAAAAACATACAGCACAGAAACATACGGACTACATTGGACTTGCTTACCAGTTTTCGCTGTAAGAATAGATTTGTTTCAGTCTAAAGCTGTTTTTATTGTTTTGTAATTATACAATATAGGACTTCTGTTGGTCCTTCTTTGCTTTAACAATATACAAATACCGCTGACTCTTGAAGCTGTCACATGGTAACAATTGTTTTGTATGCAATCACTTTGTTGATATTTTGTTTTATTTTCATTCCTTTTTGCTGTGGCACCAGTTACCTATTTGTCAGGAGGAACAAAATTCCACAATTCCAAAACCAATTCCATTGCAATTGTTTTAGGATTGTATAATAACATTCACAACATTGCTTGCAATAGTACCTGCCAAACTTATTCCAAGTATTAGTTACCATCAGGTAGACAAATTGTAAGATGGTGATGTAAAAGAAAAGGCATGGTCCTTTCACATCTTGTCTGTTAGCACGGTCAAGAGTTCTGCACAATCCAAATTTTCTATAACAATGAACAGTAGTTATTTATTTATTATTTATAATACACACCACAGAAAAGTAGTTAATGACTTTATTAAAAGGAATTTTCTATTATTTGTTTTGCAAACATTGTATTTCCATATATCAATACTTCTCAGGTAATCTGCTTTTTGTGGTGAATCATCACGTTTATGTTCTTAGGTCCATCCAGCACATGTTTTAATTGTGTTGGAGTGTTGGAAATAGCCATACATTCTGCTTTAATTTGAGCAGGTGTTGCATAGCACAAAACTTAGACATGCTGAAAATCGCTTTTGGTTCTTTCCCTGTTACATCCATGGATTACCTGGCAAATTAATCTAAATTAGTGAGGGGTTTTCTATTTTCTGAATGTTGACTTGAAAGATATTATTATAACCTCTCTTTTATATCTACTGAAGAATAATCTAACATCCTATACCTTATTTAACAAATTCAAGGAAATACTTATATATATTAACTGTGTCAAAATTGGGTTATACTGTTTCTGAATCCACACTTTTGTTATGTGCATTCTATCTTCTAAAGATTCTGACTTGACATAATATTAGAATTACTTTTTGAATTGGTTTAAACCTGTAATATATAAATTACCTTAATCAACAACAATTAAGCAAAAATAACTGCAATTTACAAACAATATAATCTACATAAAATTGTTACCTATCTTTCAATGACCTTAGTACCAGAAGCTTAATATTCAATTCGGTGACATTATTCTCTAATCACTTATTAAATTAATAACATGTTTAACTCCTCAAACACAAAAGTGCAATAATCCTTGTTTAGTATTTACGACTGTGTCTGTCTGTGACCTGCAACCCTCTTAGACTCGGCGCCTATGAAGTGCTGCATGGGGGTAACATATGGATCCTAGTAATGAAAGTAGAATTTAAGGAAGAGAAGTGAGAGTAACCTACAGAAGTGTTATTTGTATAGCTTTATATATGATGAGTCTGTTAAACTAGTTTAAAAAATAAATACAAAATAAAACAATACAAAATTTCCAAAATATTTTTTATTCCCTAGATATGTATGACTAGTCTCATGTGCATATAAATGCCATCAACCCAAGGTAGTTGTCATAAAATTATTGAAGTACAGAAGACAGTTTTGCTTTTAAACCATGTAAACTGCTGTAACATATTTTTTTATCTGCATCCTCCTTTTTGTTCTGAGATTTTGATTCTTAAAGGCAGTAACACCTCCAGAAATAACCACAACAAACAAGCTTCTTTACTGCACCTAATGCCAGTTCAAAATTACATCTTCATACAACCTTTAAATGAAGCCTCGTCACCACAAAAGTTCAAATAACTTTTATAGAATTCTCTTGAGGATCTGTCAAAGAAAGAAACCCTTGTTTATTTTTCATTTTAAATATATGTACTAATAAAAATAATCACAAAATGTAATATAGTTGAACACTAGGGCTACTTATTGATGTTAACACTAGAATTGTTATGTTAACTACATGAGGTGAAGCGTTAACAGAAAATAGAATTTTCAATATTGTACATACCTATTGTTCACAGTTTTTATGTAGGAACCAGCGTAAAACCGGGGTTGTTCTTGAAAATAATTCGCGTAACTTGCGCTTTTTTTAAGGTTTCTACTGTCAGCATTAACGAATAATTACGTTACTTTTAATTGGTTTTACAAGAATCCTCGAATAAACATTCTAAAAACAAAACAGCCATCTGTCAATGTCAGTTTTCAGCTGAATTCAAAGAGAAAAGAAGCGCCTTCCTGAGTTTGTTTTTAAATAAGTTATAACTCTTGAACCTGAAAAAATAAAACCTTAACAGTTTTCATATATGATGATCTTTTAATTGTAAGGTTTCTTTTTAATTACTTATTTTATTTGTAAATTATGTACTCTGTGATAATAAACGGATTATTTATTTATAAATTAAAAATCGATGTTGGATGGAAAAACTTTTACGTAATTTTTTTCAATGAATAATCTATATTTAATTTGTACAAAAATATTTTTGTGGTCTATGCAACGCGTTAGGCGCGGTCTTCATTTTAAGAAAGTGTTCGTTGAAACTTCGTTCGCGGTTGAAACTTGGTATTTTCGTAAAAAAATAAATAAATTATGAAATTATTAAGAAAGTGTGGTAACCATGAGTAAAGATAATTTTCATAATTGCGATTCTTCATGTTCCTCGTCGGACTCGGAGTAAGTTTGTTGTTTCGGACATTTTAATCTTCTTTGAGTATAGTCTCAATATGCAAAACGAATAAATGTTACGAATACTTTTAAAGAAATCGAATTTTTTATTACATTTCAATTGTTTATTTAGCTTTACGTCAGAAATATCACACTACCTTCCCCTTTAGCACTTCTTCTTAATTCCACCTTACTTAAGGATTTAAATCACAAACTCGGCAGCGTGTGTCACTTGCATTCGGCGATAGAAAATAATGTAAAATGTCTACCACCCTCAACAAAAATAATTTGTTTCAGTGAGTCGTGGTATAGAAAGCAGATAAAAAGAGTACATAATATTATGATAATGATATCGAAAATCGGGGCCGCCGTGGAACAGGAAGAGGACACAGGGCTGGATCGCCTCGTAAAAGGTTGGTCATTTCCACAGTACAGTTCCATTTGCGTAGGGCAATTAAGTATTTGTTTGTATGATCGGTTTTACAGGCAATTAGTTTCTCGGGTTCCTCGTTGGCTATAGGGTAATTATTGAGTGCGAGAAGTCATGGGTTCAAATCCCGGGCCAAAAATGTTTCTGTTGGATTTCTGAAATACACTCTCTCCTTGCTAAATCATAACTCGTGTCCCACCCACACTGGCTGGAATATAAGAAGGCTTGTCAATAAGTATAAAAATAATCTATGAATTTCTTTGGTATAACCGACGACTTGTTACAATTTCACTTTTTATTTTATATGTCCACGTCCCTAAAAACATTTTTTTATTAATTATGTTGTCAATTAACGTTGTTAAGTGTAACGCCGTTGAAATTGAATGCAGATACGGACATCAATTAGATCTTTGTTGCACGTTTCACGTCTGGCGCGCCGTAGTCTCTACGATCTGACTTATATGCTATTTTTGTATTACAGAGCGAGACTCGAACTCGGGTGATGCCGACGATGAAGCAAGTGACGCAGATGTAGCCCAGAAAAGGCCATGTAGAACTCGCGGGGTCCGAACAAAAGCAATAAGGCGTCGGAAAAAACCGATGAACAGGCAGAAAGGCAGGAAAGAAAAAAAATAAAACGCATTCTCACATAGCTGAAGAGTTTGTTTATTTGTATATTTGAACGCGCTAATCTCAGAAACTACTTACTAAAATAATTGTTCAGTTCACTTCGAACCAGTAGTTCCTAAGGTTAGCGCGTTCAAACATACAAACGAACTCTACAGTTTTATATATTAATATAGATGTATAATAAAACCTTTGTTTTATTTTTTAAATCTTATACTTGCTTTAGGTTAAACAAAAGTAAGATTAAACAAAAGTAAGATTAATAAGTACGTCATGATTTAACTTAAGTTTTATATATGGCTATATATGGTGACGCCTCGTGTGGGTATATTAGTGATATTTTGAATTATTATTTATTAATTGAAACAGCCGATTTGGATTTTTTTTCAAAAGCAGTAGTAGACTTGATTTGAAACAGATTAAAAAAAAACAATATAATTTATATAGATATATATTTTAACAGAACTATTAATAACGGTCTCTATTCAACTAAATAAAAATACCTATTATTTTGTGCGGCGTAATTTTTTTAACATACTGTTCGCAGTAATTTTTGTTGAAAAATATTTTGTTTGTTATTATAAAAGTAGCTGCTGCTGGATATCTACTTTACAAGGCATAGGTATAAAAATCGAACTGGGATCCTTCCTTTTTAACCGATTTTCCATTAAATTTTGACGCCATCTATCAATAAGAATATTGAATTGTTGCTACTTACTCTGGAACCATCGATCAATAAACTAAACTAAACATAGTTCTATAATTTCTGAAAAGACACACAAAACTGTCATTAATCTGGCTCTATACACAACTCAATGCCTACCCACTTTCTACGTGAACTGAAAGCCATACTCAAAAAAAAACAATCTGTTCTATACTTGAGTAGTACACATTTAAATAAAGTACTGTTTTCATATTGTTGTTTATCGTATATAATATAATTAACATTGTATTGCTGTCGAATTGGATTATATTTTTGAAAATATTAATATATCTCACATGTTATTGCACATGAAGGCACTATATAATTTAAAAATCGAAAATAAATTGAAAAAATTTTCGACTCGGGCAGGACTTGAACCGGCATCATCAGCTTTCCGTGCTGTTGTTAAGGTTGAAATTACATTGCGCGAGAGGTGCATGTATCGATAAGTTGAAAAAATTCGACGATGAAGTGTAGGACTCGGTAGCTCAATTGGTAGAGCAACAGCACGGAAAGCTGATGATGCCGGTTCAAGTCCTGCCCGAGTCGAAAATTTTTTCAATTTATTTTCGATTTTTAAATTATATGGATTATATTTGTTTGTGTACATAAATTAAAACAGAGCAAATATCATCAAAACGAAATAATGTTTACGTATTAATAACTAGCTGTGTCAGCGACTTCATCCGCGAGAATCGGTATTCATATTCGTTTTTGTAAATCCCTTCATCTTTATAAACTTAAGCTTTTACCCACGACGTCGGTCGTGTCCCTTCCCGTCCTTCTTGCAAGTCAATATAAAAGAGAGACATATAGCGTCGCGGACTTTTTTTAGATAATTTAAAGAAGGTTAATTATTTAGTGCAGCATACGCCTCGGAAACCCATAATGATGAAATTTTTCCCATTTTTTTTCGCCTTTCCCGCTGTATCTTCGCTTCTATTAGTCACAGCGCGATGTTTTATAGCCTATAACCTTCCTCGATAAATGTTCTAACCACCACAAAGATAATTTTTAATACGAACCCATAGTTCCTGAGATTAGCGCGTTCAAACAAACAAACTCTTTAGCTTTATATATTAGTATAGATATAACCCGACGTTTTGTTTGTTTTGCAGTAGCCGTAGTCACGGTGGGCCTGAAAGTAGTGGGTGTCCTTAATCTAAAAACTGCTACGCTAGCATCATCTTTAATGCGCGTTTTAAGCCATCGTGGTTATTTAAATAAAACACTTTAACGTTTTAAAACGCGATACATATTAGTCGGGATGTCTCCCCGTGACCACGGCTGATGCAAAGCATCCGAAACGTCGGGCCGAAGTTAAAAGTAATTTCTAAATAAGTTTAATATATCGCGTTTTAAACAGTATTTCATTGTGGTTATGTTTAAATAAAACAATATAATTTGTATTAATTTATATTTGAACTAGTATTAAATTTAATAAACCATTTAAAGACAATTATAGGGTAATATTATAAAATTGTACTGAAATATCATTATAAAATTAATTAATAATAAATAAATAAATACATGCATTATTCAAGACCCTTCATGTGGTATAGCGGTGGGACGCTAGTGCATAATAATCCATTGGCATAATTAAGGGCTTCCAATCATCCAGTTTTACATTTAAGCAGGTTAAAATTAAGTCTAGTTGTGTCATCTACAAAGCCTGTTGGATATACTAATGCTATGTTTATAGGTGTATTGTTAATACGCTACATTAAAATTAAAAAATGTACTTTATCTTCTGTAGGTCATTAATTCCTCGTTAAATCGGTTATTACAATAGGCCCGCCTGCAGGCGTCACAGAGTGTCAGAGGTAAAAAATAATAAAACATAGTATATATAGTAAAATTAAACGGTAGGGGAGATCATTGCAAATGGTCCGTTGGAATAAGCACGTCGGGCACAGTACGACGAGCATCTGCCAAATAAGGGTGACTGAGGGCGAGGCGAGCGGGCAGACGTTTGCTCGGATCGTATCTCAACATTAACTCAAAGAGTTCGACGGCATGGGGGTCTTCACAAACAGCGGGCGGTAGGAGAGTGCGCGCCTTTTTCTGCGGCCACTGTGGAAACGCAGCTCGGAAGTCGGGCAGCAGCCGCGCATCCGGCCACAAGTCGTCCCCCGGCGTGCCCAACGCACGAAACACGCGAAACAGCTGGTCGATCTCGCTGTCACCGGGAAAGAGCGTTTTTCCGCTAGCCATCTCGGCGTATATGCAAGCGATGCTCCAGATGTCAACTGAGGTGAAGTAAAATTTAGCTCCGAGCAGGATCTCAGGCGCGCGGTACCATAGAGTGATCACCTCATGGGTATAGGGACGGATGGGAATGTTGAAGACACGTGCCAGACCAAAGTCAGCTAATTTTATGTTTCCCTTTGAGTCCACCAGCAAGTTCTGTGGTTTTAGGTCACGGTGGAGCACACGCTGTGCATGACAATATGCTGTACCCTCTAAGAGCTGCTGAAGATAACTCTGGGGACAAAAATATTATACCTTAATTATTTTTTTCTAAATAAATGATTAAATTATTAATTGATTTACTACAACAAACTGTTCATCTACAAATTATTTGTAATACACCACCTTTATTACATCTGTACTCAAAGGCCCTTTTGTAAGGTCCATTAATCTTTTGAGATCCGTATGCATTAATTCAAAGACCAGAAATAGTTTATCATTCGTGAAAATAATATCAAGCAACTGCACCACCCCTGGATGCTTTAAGTCACGAAGGATGGAAATCTCACGCAAAGCTGTTGATGGTATTCCATCTGGTTCACTGTAAAATAATAATATCATCTTTCATATGTTCATAATCAAATAAAAGTACATAAATTAATTGCATATTTTAATGTCGAAATGTTGTACATGAGCTTATCAACATTAATATGAAAGTTATTTAAGGTAAATGTAAGGTAATGTTTTATGAATATTAAATTTAATAGTGAAATAATATTATCTATCCAATTCACAGTTTTACAATTTACAGTTGCTAATCAGACTTCTGCGTTGTCCGACCAAAACAAATACATTCCTTTCTTGTGACTTCAACTTGTTTGACCATTTAGTTAGAGGTAGATATTTATAAGTGTGTTTATTTAAATATTGAATTAAAAGCGTTCCTGTTACAATAATGTTTACTGAGTGTCCTCGGTGTTGGAGGTTATATATATTGATACTGGCTGGCAACACTTGAATTAGGTTTTAAAATGTTCTATTCTGTTTATTTGAATTCCCAGGATATTGTTTTATCAACAGTGCAAATAAATATATATATGTGAAAGTTTAAGTGGGTGTGTTTTCATAAACATCCCTGCTCCGCCCTCCCACGAGCGAAAGCTTCCACGCGGAACTATAGTGATATTACAACAATCTATCAATCATTTAATCTAAATGTGTTGTGGCAATGTTTAGAATTTGTTTACACTGAGCATGTAATTCAATGTTTAACATTAGTGTTGATTAAATCAATGAATCGTAAAGAAAACACGAATTTCCCTTCCAAAAAATTGGTACTTAAATAATTTTTTTTCTTCTTAATTGCAATTTGCACGCCCCACAATTTCGAATAAAAGTCATAACATAATTTTCGCGCCAAAACTTACTTTTCTAGTTTTATTCTCTTTAGGGCAATTTCTTTTCCTCTTATGATATCTTTTGCTTTATAGACCACTCCATAAGTTCCCTCACCTATTTTATTTATATTTAAAAAGTTATCCATAACACTACTTACTATTAGTCAAAAATTAAAACTGGCGAGGAAACAACTATTTATTGACATAAGGTGAATATTGCTATTATTAAATGTCAAGTATGACTTATGACAACATAGAAGACTTCCCCGGTTTTTTTTTTATTGTGGCAAGAAGAATTAACTTTTTGCCAGTGTCAAGTTAAAGACTGTGGTTAAAGGTAGGGAAACTTTACAGGGAGAAAAAGGATATGACGGTTTAATTATCGTGATCAGGAGAGTTAGGCAAAATTAATATATTAATGTAGATAAACTAAAAAGATAAAATAAAAATATATAAACACTACAGTTTTACGTTATTGGTAAATATAAAATGAGAAATGATCTTAAAATGTTTTTTTGAATACATACATAGATACATACGAGTAGGAAGAGGACTATTCGATGAAATTAAAGAGGAATAAAAGGAGGAATGGTCATACAGGCGGCAAGAGAAAAATATATGATCTATATTTCCCTATTCCTCACCACAGTCGCAAGTAGCTTTACTTAAAACACCAATTTTTGCTAAATGACTAGGAATATGTCCAATTCTCATGCGATTTATAGTGGAAATTATTATTTTACTTGCAGCAACACCAAAAAACCAAGGTTTTATTGGTATTGTCGGTTGAATGTTATAATTTTTCTTCCCTTATACTGTTCAGTCTCTGCCCAAATTCCCCGGTGCTGTTATCTGACAATTGACCTAATATTGACAATTCGAATAAGAATGTCATTAAAATAAGAAGAAGGGTAAGCTGTATATAACATTTAATGTTCAGTCTGTGGTATGCCTTAATTTATGATATATAGTTTTAACTGTGGTCCAGATTCTTTTAATTTAAAACATGAAAGTGAAACAGACTAAAATTTCCTTTAATCTCAATTGCAGTCTAAATCATACAATTGTTCTTCTGAATAGGTAATTTAAGTCTTTGATAGAATATTCTCAATTTTTAGGACTTTTTCATACAACAATCACGCTATTTATTATATCTGAGACCTTTTCTCAGTAACCTGTTCGGTATACGTGGTAGGTTGGTAGTGAAGTTACGTTCATAGATACCCTTCTACTCAGGAAATCACCGGAGCTACCTACTTGTACTGTTTGAAGTTTTTCCTAACGCTTAGATACATATATATAACTCAAAGATATTGATTAAATCAGTAATAATGTAATAATGAACGCTCACAGATTATTTGTACAATTCATTATAACTTCGCATGTTTTACGCCACGTTTACGCCGCTTTTGTAATATACCAACACATAGTTGCTTTCAATCAGAATGGTTCACGTCAGAACAACAAGAATGCGTCTGAAGAGTGGTATTAAAAATAACAATAGATTTTTCATTTATCTTTATTCGTTTTGCAAGTACAATAACATCTATACAATGATATCTACTACGACTAATTAATGTATATTAGACACATATAATGTAAATAAAACTCTCCATAAATTAAACATAATGGAAAATAAGACGTCTACACATCATTGACTGGAATACTGTTAATATCATCACAATAAAGGTAACTATAATTAATTAAACTAATTTTTGGAATGATATGAACGTAACTATCTGTCGTGTCATTAGGACTAGTTTAGTTTAGGTATTTAAAGGGATATCCATAAATTACGTCATACCTATGGGGGGGGGGGAAGGGAATGCCAATGTGTTTCACGGCTCTTGTATTTCTTGAGAAACTTTCTCCTATTAACTAATAATATTATTATGAGTCGACTAACATAAATAATAAAATTTCAAGACGTGATATAGCAACACTTGTGACGTCACACTACTGGGGAATCACCTCACAACATAATACTCGTGTGGCGTAATTTACGAATGACCCCTTATAAATCATTTAATATGAATGGGACATGCACCATTCTTAATTAAATTATTATAAGACCATTACAAAAACGTTATGTTTTAATTCATCACCTTCCACAACTAGACTTGCACCACTATAAACTTGGAAGTAGAGACATTTTTATTATTACGCACTTATTTAGGATAGCATGTGTATTGAAAAATTTCGTCCGGTATAGGTGAGTGTTGATCTTTATCATCCTTTGTTTTCTTAGCAGATTCAGGGCATGTACCATTTTACCTTGATCCGGTGGCTGACAGAAGGCAAAAAGGTAACGTATTTACTAAGACTCACTAAATCAGATTTATTGTTTAATTTTATTCCTGCTATAACATGAAATTTATTTATATATATACCTATTAGTTTTCTTTAACATCATAACTACAAGTCCGACTCAAACTTTACCGTGTTTGTAGACGCCTACAGTTTCAATTATAACCGAATAAAATTCGTAAAATAAACTAAGTAAACTCTTACAGTACCGAACACCCAGCTGACGCGGAGGTATGTAACGGAACAGTTGTGTTTTTTATAAAGGAGATCGTATAACCAACAATCAAGAGACCGCGATGTTTGCTAAACTAAGACCAACACTCAAATGTGAATCAAACCCGGAAGGTAGAAATTAAACTTTGAGATTAATTTTATAAAAACGTATGCTTATAGTCATGATGACGTTTTCTTGGGCGTACACAAGGGAGCGATGCAAACAATCTTTGTATTAAAAACTGAGAAGCTCTAGATTTTTTTTGAAGAATATAAATGTCCTTTATACTCTTGTACATATTAAAAACTCTTAAGAACAACAAAAAACTTGACATCCTCTCGCACTAGAAGCTGAGTACGCCATGATCTTGTCTATACTCATTTTAAAGACACTGTTTGTCGTCTGTACCTAGTGCTCTTTGACTGCGTATTAGATATCTATTACATATTAACTTCTTTTGGCATTATTTCTTTCGCATTAAGAGCATAATGCAACATCTACCTAAATTATAATTTAAACAAACCGTACGACATCCTCGATTATTCCCTTTTAACTATACTTGACAGTGCCCCCCATTACAACCCCCCTTTGGCCAGTGCGCGCAAAGTTGTAAAAAACACCTATTCCGAAAAGATTAAAATACAAATCGAAATTCAAAAATTCGAATTCAAGCTTCGAAATTTAAACAATCCATGGTCTTAAAAATTAAAAAAAAGTAATTCTAGTTTCGCCAACTACACGTGCACTGGTCCTTTCTCTTCGATATACAAATTTGTATTCTACACATTTATACAGAATGTAGGTACATAAAATCATACATCTATACGTATTTATCAAAACTAACATGATTGCACTTTAAAATCATAGCTATTTACACAATTTTTTTTGTTGGTTTGCTTTTTATAATGTTACTTGTAACGATGTAACTAAAAATGTAACTGCAAATATCTAGGGCGTTAATGACGCCGTGTCCGTTACTTTTCATTAACTTATGAGAACAGATAATTTTATTTAGATGTAAAAAATTAACGGCGATAAAATTGATTATTATGTCAGTTAAAACTAATCATTATATCAATATACTACATAAATAATACTACTACTTAATAATTACGAGTAGGTATTTATCATTTATTTACACAATTTTGATAAAAAGACTAGTCTTGCGATTAGCTCTTAATTCATTTAAATTAAATTATTAATATTAACATATACTTATTCAGTTAATAATTAATTATAATTTGAGTAATAAATTAATTAAATAATTGATCTGTGCTATCACATTAAATAATCAAGGAAGCATTAACAAATATTAAAAAAAAAATTGAAACCATTATTCGGATTAATTTGAAATATTAAACAGATTCGGCATTATGTAAGTCTTTATTACCTTGCCTAGGTCTAGTGGTAACTAATTTAGATTTTGACAGATCTCGAGGTTCAGGGTTCGAATCCCGGGTTAAAATTATTTCGGTTAAAAAAACTCTTTCTTTTAAGTATTCTTGTACCAGTAGACATTTCTAAGACCACGTCATCATCCCGGTTATCGTCACTATACATTAGTAACATGGTGGCTCAGTTTTTAAACTTATTTCGAGATCGTCACCAGCAAGGGCCCAACGGGCTAAAGGAAAAAAGTATAAATTTACATTACATTATGCCAAAAAGTATTATGTACTCACTTTGAGATCATCTGAGGCCGGTAGAGCCAACTGCAATTTTATGACTTGACTTATTTATATTTTTATAGTCTAAGAATGTGTCTACAAGAGCACTGTGACCGAAATTTGTTAACATAATTCTTACACAAATAAAAGTACAAATTCATTTTCGCCTTATTTATTGATTTTTTTTGTGATTAGACCACTCTGGCTCTAGCAGCCTCATATATCCTTTAAAATTTGACAACAATTGTGTAAGGTATTGTCGGGCGCAGCAAATGTTTTCTACCTTCCATCGTTTCGTGGGAAGTAGTAAACATTTCTCTTCAAATCTATCGAATAATCGGTTTCCATTTTCGCCTAATAAATAAAAAGCTAAAGATTACCATCGAGCATCGTCCATCGTGAGCTTTCAATTTTAGCCACCCAATTGATAGTTTCCTCTTTATTGCCGATACCATTCTATTGAAATCGAAATGAACACAAATCGTTAACACAACCATTACATTTTTTTTAATTTTCGAATTTTCCACTACTTAATACTGTTAAGATTTGGTATCAGTTCAGAAAGCTGGTCATGCGTAATGTGGGTAGGAGCCAAGATGTGACGCCACATGGGGTGGTGCCATGGAGTGTGGTGAATAGAGATTACTCCCGCCACCGCCCCAGTTACTCCAAGAGGCTGACGGAAATATTGACGCTGAAACAAACACTCACCTCGGTTAGTTAAAAAAAAGTAAAAAGTGAAAGTAAAGCTTCGATAAAGTATTTATTAAGCACAGACTTGAATAAAACACTTTAACGGTTTAAAACGCCAAAATATATTAGTTAAACTGATTTACAAATTATATTAATTACGGCACGACGTTTCGGATGCTTTGCTCATATACTTCGCGTTTTAAACCGTTAAAGTGTTTTATTTAAATGTGCACTATTCGCGTAAACGCTTAACGGTACAATATCACGCTGCCTGTACCGTCATGTCGAGTCGTCACTCTGTCTCTCTCATTTTAAGGGGGGATTTTTAGTCAAAATTAAGTCACCATGTCACAAGTCAGAAGTAGCGCAGTAGAATCCTTTAAAATAAAGATATTGACGCACTATTCACAATATTCATTAGTCATTCGCATAAGACATTCGCCAAGTCGCTAGAAAATAACATACATTTGTAGTGATTTTCAAAAAATTTTTGTCATCAGAGAATCTGAACGTTTTCTTTAGACTAGATGTAATATAGACGCTTATATATGTTTTGTTAGATAAAATGTTGATTTCCTTATTAATTATAAAACTGTCTAAAGATTATTTTCATTTTAAACTTTCCACTAACTTATTGAAGAATTATTTACATTTTATTAAGAGATTTTGAACAAGAAATACCGTACCGTATTGGTATTGACTGCTGAACAATCCGAAATTGAAAAAAAAAATTCAATCAGTTTTTTATTTACTTCGAAATTGAAACAAACGGTTTAAAACGCGAAATATATTTGTTAAATAATTTTTAACTTGGGCCCGATGTTGCGCAAAATACCAACTTCGACGGAATAGATGGCGCCAGCGTAGCAATTTTTACTTTAACGTCAGAGCCATCCTCCATCTTAAGTCTCCCTTTCTTTCTTTTAAAAATAAATCTCAGCTACGTTTAAGTAATATTAAACTACAGACAGGATTTCGTACAAAACAGTCTTTAAAAATATGTAAAAATTTAAGTATTCGTGGCAAATCGTAAGGTTTTCTACGTTTAAAACATGCTAAGAATCTAAGTGAGCAGTCAAAATATTTATTCCATTAAGTCAAGTACGTCGAGCCAAACCCGTGGCGATGACAAGCTGCTTTGAGGAGCGTGCTAATATTTGTGCTAGCGAGTGTACGGGTATTAGCACCGAATGCAGATTACACCCGACTGCGTTTGAAGGGTGCATGATATTAAAACAGCCTGTTGACGTTTTTTAAATATATAAATATATTTTCCTAACAATTATTAAGAAAACGACGAGTTGTTAATATAATTCAGGTTTAGTACATTTATAATAAAACCATAAATAAAAATCCATTACTTAACAAATTAGCTTTTATAAAGAATGCTCTTTCTAATACAGACAATAAACGATGCTTCTAGAGGCAAAGTGGCCTAAAAACAAAAAAAAAAACATGATTTTCAATAATTATTTATGTTAAACGTTTTCAACTCTATGCAAAAAATATCAATAGTCAAGTCAAGTCATAAACTTGCAGTTAGGCTACTCTACCTCTAGCGGCCTCAATTATACTTTGTTTAATGAAAAATATTTGAATAATTCACCTGGCACGTTCTTCATCATCATTCTATTTAAATATTCATATTATTTTATTTATTTACTTAGTTATAGGTAACAAAAAAAACATTAACTCTCTCCCAGAGTCGCTCTGTTTAGTATTTGTTTCTAGTTAACGGACTAAATCTTTTGAAAACCATCACTATGAATTCGCAATAAGCTATGTTGATTTAAGCTTTTTTACCTGTGGACGTGGGCATCGCCGCGTGTGGTGCCATAAACGAAGACAACTTGGCTGAGTGGTGATATGAGCTCATGAACAGGTCGCTTTGGTATTTGTACGCTTGGTCCGTCGCAGCCGGCTGCGTAGCCGCTGCTAAACCTTGGAAGTCAAACTTGTATGCGTACCGCTTTCCGTGAACCTTCGTCATGATGTTCTTGTCGTAGTAATATCTGCGCAACGTTGAAATATTAGCGATAGTCCGCTATGTACGCAGCCGGCCGCGTACTGCGTCACGCGATACACTGGTCAAGTTTTTTTTATGGAGGAGGACAGGCAAGATTGGCTGGAGTATTTCCCCTCCTACCAAGAGAACCTGGTGGGACGTGAAATAATCCAGCCATACATATCTACATAAAATGCGCTGTCGCCCTATTTTGGCTTTGAATAATTTTAATCTACTATTCTTGTAGATGACGCAGCGTAACGCGTGCAGCTGTACGCAACCTGACGCGTTAATACGACCACAGACATACAGGCATTCGGAGCTATATCTATAATTTAAAATAGTAAATCGCAACGCTCGCAATATGGGTACCCATTACATCGCAACGCAAGATGACAGCGTAGCAAGTTACCTCAACGCTCGGCTTAACTTGTCGTAGTTCATGTTTGGCTTGGACTTGCGCTCCCCCCACCGTCGTGCTACCTCGTCAGGGTCTGTTAGCTTGAACTCGCCGTTGGTGCCTTCCCAAGTAATGCAGCCCGCGTTGCTGGAGTCACTCAGCAGTTCAAGAAGGAACTGCCATAACTGGATTTGACCTGAGCCTGAAATGTATTGTAAATACATGTGTAATAAAACGGCCCTTAAAACTGTCCTTGAAAAACTCTTATTTGCAAAATACAACAACAGACAGATAAGTGATAAAGATAGAAGTGCAGTTACAAATATTATATCTGAAGTAGAACCTTTTTATCGACGTAAACATAATTAAAACAGAATTCTTTCTAAAAAAAACTAAGTAAGTATTAATAGATTTACATATAATATTGTATTGGAAATTGAACTAACTATCAATATAAATAGTATCTAGTCTTCGAAAAACAAAATTAAATATAATTTGCATTATTAGAAGTTAAACAAAAAATAGTCTTTATTCCTCTTAAAGTTGGTCTACATTATTGAAATATAAACAGTGAAATAGTGTTTTTGCGGCATAGGTCTCGTCGTGTCGTCAAATAATTGTTCATAATATTAAATATAATATAATATTAAATATAATATAATATTAAATATAATAACTGAACAACTTCTCTTATGACAAGACAAGGCAAGTAATAAGAATTGCTCCTTAGGTTAATAAATTCACAATAATGTATTAGTTAATAAGACATGTTAAAAATGCCGGAGTGAGTTTCTTGGGTGTTCTTCTCGGTTATGTTGCTCTTTTGAACACTGTAGAATCACGACGAACAGACAGACAAACATTTTGAATTTTTTTTGTCGAATCTAAATATATTTAAAATTCTATACATTATTATGAATTAAATGACTCGAACATCGAAAGATTTTACTATCACCAACCCTATCATTACGCGGTCATAAAGGGGCAGTTATGCCACGTTATACCGCGCCCGCCTAAGGCATTGCGCCTTTCAAATACATAATAGTTCTGTGAATCGATTAGGAATAACACGAATACATAGGTAGATGACATTCGATTATCACTAAGGGTGGCCTTTTAGTGAGGAATACGCGTGCGTTTGTCTTTTATATTTAGGACTAGCTTTGGGGGAACGGAAATACATTTAACGGTTTAAAACTAATTTATATATATACGAGTTAAACTTGCTTGGAATTTATTTTCACTACAGTCGACGTGTCGTATGCTTTGCCGCAGCCGTGATATATTTTACATAAGTCAACGAATTCATTTCGCGTTTTAAACCGTTATAAGTGTTTTATTTAGAATTTAGAAAAATTACATGATATACTAACACGATGTCGTCGGGATTTCAGCATTATGAGGATATCAAACGCGACGCATTGGTTACGTCACAATTACACCAATATAACCGTCAAAGAAGTGTTGTTCACATGAAAATTCTGTAGTTCGCTTCTATACGTTAATAATATATGTTCGAGTATTTTTCAGGTGTTCGATAGGTTGTCAGTACACGCGTTCTTTTTTGAAGCCCACTCTAGGCTATTTGACTTTATTAGTAAAAGAACCCAGAAAAGTTCTGATACATATTTCACTGAAATTTTTTAATTGTGCGCCAAGACGCTAATTTAAAAAATACGGCTAGTGACGTCACGGCTTATATTGGGCATTGGTGTATCTCGATCAAATCTACAATCTACATGCATTTATACCAAACATTTACGTTTTACCAGTGATTGATGAAGTAATAAAATGAGTTAGAAATTTATTTATTTATTAATGCAAAGAATATCACAGATTTAAGACACTAGCATGCACGATGGTTTAAAGCGATGTTTACAAGCAAGTGACGTCATCATAAACCCGACCAATCACGTAACAAATGTTTAAAAGAGTTAATTTTTTTGCGGTTTTCTATTAAAATCAATTATTATTTTTAACGTAAGCGTCTGTTGTGCTATTTCTAAGCTTACACTTAATAGTGATAACCGTAATCGTCGCTATATTTTTCGCATTAGCTACTTAGTCTAGATTCGTTCAGAATTATATTTAAATCAACCTGATACATTTAGGATTTCCTAAAATTATATATATAATAATGAAGTATAAGAAAAAAGAGTATTTTGCCATTGCTCATCTTCCAATTGTAAAATGTCCAAAGGTTACTTCCAGTCTCCTAGGTAAGTAGACATCATTCTGCCCTATAGGTACCCCAAACTATCATTAATTACGAGTCATAAAATCGATGGGGCACAACAGACAATGCATCAAACGAAGCGATATGCGAGAGAAAACGTTGTGACGTGAACATAATCGATCACAGAATAAATCACCGGGCCGCCACGCTCGTGTGAGCCTTCGCCAAGTAACGTCACCAAATAAGGTTCGCTCCTCGTATATTTTGTTAGTACTAAGTAGTCTTGGAACCTTGGACCTTGGGTAACATTTCCTATATAAGTACTATTGAATTTACGTTTATTTTATCTATACTAATATTACAAACTACAGTTGACGAGTTTGTTTGTTTGAACGCGCTGATCTCAGGAACTACTTTGCTTAAAAAATATTTTTTGTTGATTCGTCAATTTCGAGGAAGGTTAAATTATTTAAAACATCTACAACTAATGGCAGAGAAGAGATAGAGGAAAATGTGGAGAAAATGTCGAAAATGATTCATCTTTGAGGGTTTCCGTTACGTGCGCTTCGAAAGCGGTTCAATATACTCATAAAATATGAATATAAGAATTATTATTCTTTAAATAAAAAAAAAAACTATTTTAAGAATAACTCGCAAGAATCGGTTTTATGGTAATCAAATTCGTCGAAATAATTCTTATGGCAAAAGAATGCTTCCGATGTCACCTAGTAATACAATATAATATATGTATTTCAAAGCATTTAAAAGGTTGACATATCAATATAATTTATTCTAATTAGTTTACTTTTATTTTATTTCGGTTTGTTACTGGTATTTTGAAATGGTATTTTAAAAAACCCGTCTATTTTTATCTCTTTCTTAGCTTTTCCAAGAACAGGTGCATGACATTGGGAGAGTTCAAATAAAATAAAAAAGAGTAGAAATAAGAAAAAAAAACAATTAATTTTTAGAGTGTTTACTAATTTGCATAAAAAAGAAAACAAGATGGCGGCCAAACAACTGCGTTCTATATAGGCGCCCCTGAGATATCAACAAAGTAATACGGTTTTTTTTCGTTTAAGCAAATATTTTTCACACAGTACAGGGTCGATTCTAGACGATTGAGCCTCGCGTAAGTCGTGCGTGTTGGTAACATAGCCGCCCAATATCCTGACATGCTTTCAAGGAACCCCTACGACTACTATTATACCACTTGTAAATCACTGCGGGCGAAAAACAGTGAAATGACACACGTAATAAGCACTAAAGTTACCCTGAGTATAGCGAACGTAAAGACATTTACTTAAAATAATGATTTGAAAACAGTCAGTTTTCAAAATTAAAGAAACGTTTGTTTGTACAGCCAGAGCAACAGCACGGAACGCTGACGATGCCGGTGCAAGTTCTGTCCGAGTCGTAATTTTTTTCATTTTATTTTCGATTTTTAAATTATATAGTGCCTTCATGTGCAATAACATGTAAAAAATAATAACGTTTTAAAAGTCAGTTTTAAATACTGTCTATAGTTTACGCGAGTAGTACACATTTAAATAAAGGTAGGTATACATTTTTTAATCTGTTAAAAACGTTACTTTCATGAATGTACTTAGTACTGTTATGTAAGGTTTTAAAGGTTATTTAATTACTAGCGGCCCTGTCCCGGCTTCGCACGGGTAGATATAAATAAGTACAAATATTTAAACGCTGGTTCAGGGGCCGCTGCGAGCGTTAGTGTCCCGTGCACGCGTTCGCGAATTCCTAGCTCTATTTCCTTCAAGTCGCTGCGACGATCTTGCATTTTGTTCTGCAAGACGAACCTGAACGTTCGACGATAGAATCACTGGCTCGCGATTGGGACGCGTACACTCTTATACTTTCCAGACGATCATTTTAGGAAGAAGACTCTCCAATACGAATACTTACTTTTTCTAATCTCGCTTGGGATCTATTCTTAGATAGCTGCGGCCTTCTTCTTCTAGGCATATTGCTATGAAGGATATTTATTATAAATCAGAGAAATTAAGAATAAACTAATAATAATACAAAAGAAAGTATTCAAGTTCAAAGCGATAGTTCTAAAAAGAACTTTAACGAACACTATGCAAAGTGTGATTGCTAATACTAAAACTAAGTAACTTTGAAAAGAACTTTTGATGTGAAGCATAAAAATGTTTAAAAAAACGAAATAGTCAATGTCGTTTGTGCCCACTGCGTAAGGAGGGCACTGCCCCTGATATCTTTTGAATGGCATGTCCGATTTCAATAATTAAAAAAGTAATTATCAAGTATTGAAGCAGTCTTGAATATTAAATTATTTATGGCTGACAAAAATGTCTCCAAGTGTCCACTTTTATCGGTTTAAAACGTGAAATGCATTAGTATTTTTTTACAATTTACGTTTCGCTTTGTAGCAGCCGTGGTCATGGAGAGACAGATAGTGTCCCTAGTATTAAAGTAAAAACTGCGTCATAGTTGCCATTTGGCAAAACCGTTAAGTGGTTTATTTAATTACAGACAGTACTGTCACTTTACTTTTCTGAAACATGTTGGACTTCGTCTGAAAGTCTGTAATATATTAAATGGCTCGTAAAAATATCGATATTCCGTAAATCATGAACCATTGTCCACAGATTAAAAAGCCGTCATGTTAAATAGTGTTTCGGTTATACTCTGTGGATTTCCGAAAATATATATATAAACAAAAGACTAACAATATAATCTTCATTATGTTTTAAAATAGGTCGCAATGATTGAAGGCTACGTTACAGAGAAAATAACGTATTTCCCTTAGTTACGCATTGAGAATGTAAATAACGGTAATGTGTGTGGGTGGCCAAAGTTCAATTATCATACGGACAGGTGGGTTAGCCTGCGTCCGTGTGAAAAGCGCGAGGTAATTACCGTCAAAGTTGGCACGTGCCCTTAATTGTGTAGCGGGAGTTTCCGCACCCGACCTATGTTCCCGGCCGCTGTTGAAATCGCGGGAAATAATACATTTTAAAATGCAATCTTTTGATGTTTAATGAAGCTTTTGGATTCGTTGAGTAGGAATGTAGTAATTAGGTACGATTCTTGCCTTATATCGATTTATCGGAATGTTTTCTTTATTACGAATTAAATTTATTCATTCACAGAACTTTTTAAATGTGAATTGGCGACTACGATAATTACGAATTTATAAATAAAATCCCGTTTCCTTGATTTTGATTATTGTGAGAAATCTTTAGGGCCAGACCGAACATTGGAGTAGGGATTATTCCCTAGATTTGAAGTAAGGCATGTTCTCCTCTTTAGCTTAGAGGGGATACATTTAAGTTGAAAGGAAATACTGTCTATAGTTTACGTGAGTAGTACATTTAAATAAAACACTTTAACGGAAACGTCGGGCCGAAGTTAAAAATCATTGTCAAATAAGTTCAACTTCGCGGTTAAAACCGTAAAAGTATTTTATTTGAAGGGAAATGTCAAAGTCACATAGGTAGGCTACGGCAGCGCTACCTGTTTCGTCGTCATTGATCTTTGGAGTAACTGAATTTCAGTAGTCCCAATATAATTGGCATTTTAAACAAATAAAAGTGTTTTATTTAAACATGTAACACCCGCGTTAGTTTATTACTTATGGTTAAAAAGGCTACCAACAAATACGTAATCATATGCTAACATTTAAATAAAACACTTTAACGGTTTAAAGCGCGATATATATATATCAGTTTAATTTGTTTGTAAATTATTGTAAGTACGGCCCGACGTTTCGGATGCTTTGCAGCGGCCGTGGTCATGGGGACACTAAAGATGTCCTCCATCTTTTATATTTTCCATCAAAATAATTTTCAAACAGGTTCAACTAATATATATCGCGTTTTAAACCGTTAAAGTGTTTTATATGCTAACATTCTTGATATAGATTGTGCATAGTTTTATCTGTGACTTCCTATTAAGTGGAATATCGTCCACTTAACTATACATTACGCGGTATCTTCAATCAAATACACGTTAAGTTGAATGGGGGTTGTTATCGCGATTTCGCGTGTTAACCTAGCACCCCTTGCCCCTGGGTTCTCACAGGTCACCCGCGTATTCTCGACTTGACCACTTTCACCTATGGGGCTAGGTCCTATTTTAATTAAGTGATTCATGCTCTGCCACCGTACTATAGTTCTAAGTTTTCAGACACATTGAACACATACAAATGCGCGTGCGCTGTTCTAGTTCAACATATTAAGGCCACTACTTGGGGCGTTAATTATTCTTGCATTACGAGACAAATATTATTATTATCAACATTTGTTTTTGCAAACTCTAGCTGTTACCCACGACGTTAAGCGCGTCCCTTCGTTCTTGCGATTTAATCTTAAAGGTTATACTGTCGCGGACGTTTTTTAATCGACTAAAGAACACTCTATCATTACAGTGCCTTCATTAGCCAACATTATTAGTGCCTTCATTTGCTAGCTTTATAATATTAGTATTGATTGCTATTTCTGAAATGTCTGTTACTTGAAAGTATATTAACGCACTAGCTGTACCAGCGACTTCGTGCGCGAGAGTCGTTATTTTGGGCATCCAAATTAATTTTTGCAACTTTATAAACTTAAGCTGTTAACCACGACGTCGATCGCATCCCTTACCGTCGTTCTCGTAAATTAATCTCAAAACATAGTGATATAGAGACGCGGATCATTGAAAGAGGACTCATTCTTTCATACATATTTTTTAGGTATCTTGAACCGTTTTCGCAGCGTACGCATCTGAAACCCACAGAGATGAAAAATTTCCTCCTCTTTTTCACATTTCCCACTGTATCAACGTTTTTATAAAACACAGCGCGATGTTTTATAGCCTATAGCCTTCCTCGGTAAATCCTCTAACCAACACAAAAAGAATTTTTCAATTCGAACCCGTAGTTTCTGAGATTAGCGCGTTCAAACAAACAAACCAACTCTTCAGCTTTATATATAGTATAGATATAGGGTCCCAAAAAGTTAAGAATTACTTTTCAATTGCCTTTTAATACGGTTTTTCTTTTTATAAAGTTCCTTAACTTCTTTGGATATATATGTCTTATTATTTTAATATCATACGTCTTAACAAATTATACTTATATAATTAAGCAACTCTACCTACGCTTACCTTGCCCAACGTATTATAGGAATCGAAGAAAATAACTTTTGCATTAGTTAGTCATACCTGAATTAGCTAGGCGACTGCTTGTAGGTCCAAACATTTGATAGGGATCTGTGAAAAATATACAAATATTAAACTCTTACATAAATCAGTAGAATATAGTCATTAAATGACATTGTTTATTCCAAAAATATGCCGTTATACAGTACCTAGCTACTGTGTAAGTCAAGCACTGTGCACAGATAATTCTATTAAAAAAAGAAACAGATTTCTCTACTTCAATTACAGATCGTTGATTTTAACTAGATAAGTGATTTAATAATTATAAAATATTTTGTCTTATTTGCAATAAACGCGACGGTTTAAAACACGAATTATATTAGTTAAATTACTTATAACTTTGTCGCTATACCTATAGATGGCTATTTTATGTATGGATTATTATTAATATAAACGAAACAACTGAACGCTGGATTGTTTCAGTAGGTTTGTTTCAGCTACATAAAAGACTGCATACATAAAAAATGTACTGTCTGTTCTTCTTCGTCAGTTATCACTACCGCATGACTAGACCGAAGATAGGCCAGTTTCCCTGACAACAGACCACCAACACGGACCGAAAAAAATTCAGATACACTGCATAGATTGCATTTAAAACAGTCGTAATGAGATCGGCCCGTACGTGGCTACTGAATTTGCATAGATAGTAGGAACTAAGGGTCCTTTCTAACTATAGCTTGTATATTTTTATATGATTAGCGAGAGATACGTTACCTTCATTATAGTGTCTTAAACAAAAAATTTAAGTTAAAAAATTAACTAACTATTTTGATATTTGTTTTCAATGTTATTGTAATTTGTTGTGATTGGAATGTTTGCTTTTAGTAAATATTTTTTTTTAATGATTAACTCTTATATAATACGTATAATGAGTAAAAAGACTATGATATACTATTCCAATACATATATACGTATAAATATTAGTTTAGTGACTTAAAGGATATATGTCATTTGTATCTTAAGATATTATTTTTGAAAAACATTCTTCCTTATACATATTTTTTTATGTATCTAAAATTTAACATAGACATTTGAGAAATAATTTCTTAAATAAAAAAAAATACAGGTTAATTATAGCGAACGCGATGTTCACCTCACTAAAATATTATCAATGATAATATCTACAGAAAAACCAAAAGTGGAAAGGCAATTGAAATGTTATATACCATTATTTCGCTTATTCAATTCAAATTGAAGGCCTCAAAGCAATACAGCAAGGTAATTTGCACTCTAATTATCTAAAAATACGATTGAATTTTATTCTAACTTAGATCAATTATTTTGAATTAAATTTGAAACAAAGGAACCCCTAACAGTATTCGCCATTGTTAATATTATAATAAAATAGTAATTGTTAATGACACTTGTGTTGTTCGTGGATTGTTAAACGCGGGACTGTGACTAACATTCGGCTGTGACTAATACAAAATGTGCTAAAACCTTTTGAATTTAGGGACACAAGTGCCGACGTTTAACTGTCCAAAAACCGAGGTCGTATATCATTAGAATATTGTGGTGGTAAATTTAAATAATATTTTTTAATATAGACTTAGATGGGATTTTGGTAATCTATGCTAATATTATAAAGCTTGCAAGAGTTTGTTTGAACGTGCTAATCTCAGGAGCAACTGGTTTAAACATTTTTGTGTTGGTTGGAGCTTTTATCGAGGAAGGCTTTTGGCTATAAAACATCAGAGTGCGATCAATAGAAGCTAAGAAACAGGTACCCAAAAATATGTCTAAAGATTCTTCTTTCAATTGAGTAATAAAGTAATCATAATCCATGTTTCCAGGACACGGTGGTACTAACAGCCCCAATACAATAAAAAATAACCGATTAGACATTTTCTTAGGAACATTCTAAATACTGAACTAGCGTTTCACTCGACCCGGGTTTCACCTCTTGGACTAAGTCATTTGCAGTCTAATTATCTAAGAACTAGTATTCTTAACTGCAACATTGTTGTTTTTCGTCAACCAAACATTCAGAATTGTGTTGTTCTCCCGTAAAGCGAAAGCAAACATTTCCTGCGATTTCCTGTCAACATGTTTTGTTAACTTTTTAACATTGACATTGGAATTAACATAATACAAAGCAAAAGGAATTTAAACTTTAGCACGAGTTGTGTGGTACAAGTCAATGGTGATTGCGAAAATGGTAAATAAGGGATTCGTTTGTATTTGATCGCCGAACTTAACACTGAACAACGTTAAACACTGTCTGCCGTTTACACGAGCAGTACAAATTTAAATAAAACACTTTAACGGTTTTAAACGCGATATATATTAGTTAAACTCGTTTGATTCCAATAAACAGCATACCGGCAAACACTAAGACACCGTTAGTCAGTTCTGCTAGGACTCGGCCAATTTCGCCAAATACCAACTTCGACGGCGCAGATGGCGCTAGCGTAGCAACTTTTACTTTGACGTCAGAGCCATCTTTAGTCTCCCCGTGACCACGGCTGCTGCGAAGCATCCGAAACGTCGGGCCGTCGGGCCGAAGTTAAAAATAATTTTCAAGTAAGTTTAACTCATATACTTCGCGTTTTAAACCGTTAAAATGTTTTATTTTAACTAAACAACGTTATTTATCTGTGTGAGCTTCTAATAAATAAAAAAAAATGACAATCATTTTTTTTGTAGTATGCCTAAACTAAGAAGTTGTTTAGGGTGTAAGTTTTTTTAGAACTGAAAATTGGACAAGCTTCAAACATTGGTTACTAAATAAGATGTGAAATACTTTAGCCCAACATCTTATTAAGAAGCCTTAGAGATATATCTTTGATTAGGTTATGGCGTGTGGCACCTGTATCGCACCGACATGTATTGTTTATAGCAAAGATACGCGTAACTTGTTTTCTGAAACTGCATCACCGCTTTTGACTTGTACCATACAACAACACTTCACGCAAACCATGTTCGTGTGTGGAATTTATTTTTCTTTCGATATTAAGCCTAATATTTCTACGATGATGTTGTTACATTGTTTTATATATAATATCCTTTTTATGCTAATGCGTTCCTTACTTTTTCAATGTTACATAAAAACGCCTTAGTTGTATCGTAGAATTGTATAATGTCTTTATAAAATGGTTGTAACAATCGGGTTTTGATAAAAAATTATAAAAAAACAATTTCGTCCGAAAATCTAAGACCATAATAGGTCGATAGCGTGTCTTGTTGAGGTATTAAATGGCTTTGTCGAATCGTAAGTAGGGAAGTTTACTAGTTAACTAGCAAAAAGTACCTAATATATCTATATCGTGACACGATCAAAAATATATTTTTTTTAAATAAATCATTAATAACAAAACCAAATGCGAATGAAAATAGGTTATAGTTAAAAAATCGAAAATAAATTGAAAAAAATTTCGACTCGGGCAAGATTTGAACCGACATCGTCAGCGTTCCGTGCTGTTGCTCTACCATTTGACCTACCGAGTGCTACACCTCATCGTCGAATTTTTTCAACTTATATGCACCTATCGCGCAATGTTCAAGTCCTGCCCGAGTCGAAAATTTTTTCAATTGATTTTCGATTTTTAAATTATATAGTGTCTTCATGTGCAATAACATGTGAAAAATATTAATGTTTTCAATAGGTTAGACGTTAATAACATTGTGGATGCGAATACCTAATGTCAAGCAAAGCCAAACTAATGAATTATGCTTGAATTTCAATCACATTGTGACCACTAATACTATTTCCATAGCTGAATTGATCGGGGTGTATAGGTACAACAATTTCGATCGTAAGGTTAGAAGTTCTAAGTGGATGAATGAAAATTTTATCTGTCAGATTGAATTTTTCATGAAAAATTATCTAAGTTTAATTTGTTGAAACTGATTTATTTACCGTTTATTAATATTGTAACTCAAATCCCGTTTCTCCCGATGCATGTGGCGAACACATTTCTGTGTCCGTTTAACTAATCGGAACAATATATTGTCTTACCTTAATTCGAACCCAGGACCCTAATGCTAGGTAACACGTTTAATCATTGGGTTACAAAAGCGGTTGGTTTATCAATAAACCTTGTTAAAATATCTATCTTAATATCTGCCTATCTGTTGAGAATCATATGTTACAAATCAAAGCCAAGTGCATGACTTAGCAAGGGTTTGAATATAAAAAGTTATAGCTGTTAGGGGGTTTGCAGCACGGTGTTGGGGCGCGGCGCGATGTAATCTTGATGATTATGATAAATGACCCCCCGGGATCGATCGTCGAGTTAATTTTAACCTACACATTATTAGGAAACTATTTACAACATTCAATTCACAAATTCTATATTAGGATAGGATCGCTTTGATATTCATTAATACAATTTGCCGGGCTCGTTGGTCTAATGGTGTTGGAGGTTGGGTCGTGGGTTCGATCACCACCAGGCCACAGGAACATGTTTCTAATTTATCAATTTATATTTTATTCTGAAACGTGCTGGACTTCACCTGGAAGCGAGAAATTCCGTCCGGTTCACGAACCACCGTCCACAGATGTAAAATCCGTTAAGCGTAATCGCGTTTCGGTTTCAGTCTGTGGATTTGCGAATATCCAAAGCCAAAATATGTCGAAAGTGTAGGTACCTTGTTTAGATGCCATGTCCATGCCACGTCTATCCACCTCTATCATTAAAAAAAATATTTTATCGACTTTAAATAACATGAAGCATAGGACACATTCATGTGTCCGTTCTACTAATTCTATTTATCATGCATCCGGAAATGGAATCAGTGACCTTGTGCTCAACATCCTAACTTCATCACCATCCTGCGTTGCCCAGCAGGTCAAGTTGACTTATAAATATGTAAACAAGGACAACCCTAAGAAAACATAGATTTGACAGACGACGATTAGAAATCCACCTGATGTATTGTGTACGGCAAAAAACCTGTTAAATTTTATTATATAATACTAAATATGACATATTAATCTAAAACTTTGGTAATATTGTGCCTATTAACGTGTTTATATTAAAAACAAATATTTCTAGGTTAGCTTAAAACTATGTTAAAAAATAAAGACACAGGTTATTT